TGTTTGATATCGCCAATCAGCCGGTCACACAAGGGGTCTTAATAATAACTTTCAGACCTGTTTTGGCTTTATAAGTCCAATTTGGCATTTGGATTCAATTCGGCTCTTTTCATTTTATAGTGTAACTGAAAATTTGCATACTTAACAGATGAATAAACACTCAGTTAAGCTCGAATCGAGTCAGTTTGCATTTATAGTAAAGTCTAAGATAATTTGCACCTTACCAACGGGGCCACGATGTTTACTTCGAAATTTTGCATAAAGAAGAAACCCAGAGCGTTGCGGTATCCGACATTATGTTCGAGCTTGTAGCGTCTGTAAGTGGTGGTCATACTCTTCTCTCTCTGTCATCAATTGGAACTAGATAAAGCAGTCTATGTTATTCGAAGGTTCCTCTGATGAGAGGGAGTTTTTACAAGGCAGTGTTTAGACAGATGTTAGGCGTCACTCGTCTCCCTTTGTCATGAAGCTACCAAACATGACACTTCAAGACGTTAACTAACTTGGTAAATAGAACGAATAATATTTCATTCCCTGTCAAAGCGATTTAGTATTTACCTGAAGTACACAATGAAATTTATTTTTTAGGTGACAGGAATTAAATGCAATAGGTCATAAAATTCTTTACTTTTGGACTTGAGTTTGTTTAGAGTACTGTGTAATTTCATTTTAAGTGAAGGAGCGAGTGGGTAGAACCACAATTCCAATTTATTTAAAGAGCCAAAAGCCCAATAACACGGGTGAAACTGAGTAAATACGATGAAAAAAAGTCATCCAGAAGAGCCATCTGTGGGCGAAGATATTACGAAGTTAGAGGTAGATTACTGGTGATGTTAAATCTCCCAAAAACTGGAATCATTTTTGGTGCATTTTAGCAGCACTGAAATCGAATTCACGACTGAGTGAGAGAAGGTCGAAAGTACTGTTTAGATACAGGTAACTACTGGTTTGATATATTTGTGGTCAGTTTATGTTTGTTTTTAATCACTTGAATATTTGCGTAAGAGAAAAACAACTGGGTCGTATTTTAGTTCGCAAAGTTTTTCAATCGAAAAGCTGGATGCTGTTTGTTATGAATCTAAAACCGATGTAAGGAACGATGCACCGTCCTTTCAAAATTAAGGTAATTAAACAGTCCAGCAAGGAAAAAAGGGAGAGAAATAACTTTAACAGCAAGGTTTTGCTGACACCATAGCAAAACCTCCGTTGATATCGTAACATCTAAAAGATTCTTCCCTTAGAATTCGGTAACGAAAACTCGTGAATATCTACTCTTTAAGGGTTCCATAAAGTTTACAGCGCTTTGATATAGCAGATACACGAAAAAAACAAAAACAAAACAAAACAAGACAAAAAAGACGGCCTTTCGTTATTGTTTGACAGCACCTGCAATGGACACTCTTGGATGAAAAGATGCAAATAGTGCGTAGAGAATTTATTCTCAAAGACTAACTTTTTATGATTAACTGCACTCAGGTATAATAATGCTCTTTTCATAGATCGATGTGATCAGTTGCAGCAAAAAGCAGCCCTTTCTTTGTGCGCTTCGTTGCATGCGATGACAAAGAGATATAGCTTTTAATTTCCGTTTAAGTGCAATATGACCATCTCCACCCTCAAAGCAGGCTTAGCCGCGGGCGATGCGATTGTATGGTCGTAGCACAAGGTGCTAAAGAAAAGGGACTATCGTAAATAGATAACTGAAGGACTTCGAAGGATGAAAACCAGCTACAATTCAGTTTGGATATTCCTCAAGTCTGGGCGGTTTAGAGATGACTTACTTAAGATAAGACTCATTTGTACAGATGATCGATACGTACATCAGCGATTTCCAGTTCGCCTTAAACTCTCTTAGCTGAGTGGCTAGTATCATAAAATGACGCCTCCAGAGTTTCCACTATATCTCAAGCTTGTTTGATGCACCTTTTATTATCACGCTGATATTTTAATGATGACACTTAAACAAAGCCAAAATGTTACGTCTTCCGACAAAGTTAATTGAGTCGCGACGTTTTATCTTTTTTTATTCATGGAATGTCTAAACTGCCCAAAGAGCAATTATGATTGAAAAATTACCACAGCGCTGCAAACTTTGCATTATAACAATCACGGACACAATTTGAATGTACTCGTGATTATGCATCATCAGCATGATGTGTTTAACTTTATCACTTTCTATAACAGTAAGATGTACAGAGAACTAAAAATATAAAGTAAGCTTGTTTTTACTACGCTCCTTCTTATAACACTTTAAGCTTAATGCATTAAGGAACACCTCGCTTGTTTTCAATATATCCATTACTCACAGATTGAAATACGCCTGTACCTTGGTTAAATCTGTGTTTTAAATTTTCCCTTTTATTTGTCCATTTCAACGATGGCAGTAACCAGCCAAACAAATTTATAGTGTTTATTTCCATACTGTGCTTCTATTCTATGCAATTTTCTTACATGGTGCCCATTGCTAATTTACATGTATCTCAGAAACCTACGATTTCACATGGAAACGGATGAAGATTATTTTCATATCAGAATTCGACTGAAAGGGTTTTGAATATGGAAGCAATCTTCGCAGTTATGAACACCACTTAAACAGTAGTGAAAATAAGGCCTGAACGGGATTTGAACCCATGATCTCTGCGATATCAGCGAAGGTGTGGTGAAGGGGTTTTATAAGGCGGCATTAAACATAGCATTAATTTCATAGCATTGTTTCTAAGGTTACTTTACATTCCATTAAGGAGGCTTCATGCGAACGAAGTACGAGCTAAAACTGTCAACATGAAAAACAAACATGGCGGCTCGATACGATCGCACGATTGTTATCTGAAAAGGTGTGTTAAAACAGTTTAGCTCAATACAGTTTTTATGTGATGGAATCTAGGGTTTCCAGCAACTACACGCGTAATATTCATAGGCCTTTTGCGCCTGAAAAAGAGGTCAAAAGAAAAGAAAACACCGTGGGAAAGATTGCCGGATTCGAAAGTCTCCGCGTGCTCAGACACCGATCTTGGCGAAGTCCTATTCCATTAAGTAATGTTTTGCGACAAAGAAAATAAGGATCTTTCGAGTAAGATTTATCGCGTTTCCCTCGGTGGAATTTCCCAAGATTTGCTGGACCTTTAAACATTTGTGCCCTCTCTAGTGCCTGTTGACAAAAACAATTTATAATACCAAGTTTGAGACAGAGGAAAAAGACACAAATTGCAAATAGCGAGGAAACTGCCTTGGAACCCCCATCCGTTTCCACAAATTGTGACAATTTTGAGAGATTCACCAAAGCAGATTGAAGAAAATCAAAATCAAAGGCAAAGCCAAATTATCGCTGGCGAGCGCCTCCCTTCGTGAAGCCTTAGCTTAATAACGAAAACCATTTTGATAATATTTACTACAGAAAACGATTTTCCGAACCTTTTTCTTTGCCTTTTGATAGCTTTTAATGATCTTGAAAAGCGAAAACAAAAATTTTCCAGAAAAACATTACGCTGGCGCGCGCGCCAACATTAAGCAAAAACCCTGTGGAGCCTCTCTAAAAAGTAGTCGACAGTGACAGATAATTGAAGTCAGAAATGCCATCCATGGCAGAATGAATCAGTTTTCAGTTTGTCTCTTCCATTTTCTTCTTTTTTCTTTTACGAATTTCCTAAAAATAATAGGGATATGTCATGGGGGACTGAAAGCAAATAAATGGATATTAAAATTCCGTGTAATAAAAACTAATCTCTCTGATTATTGATATGTGTAATTGATATCACCATACAAAATACAGAATGGTTTATGAAACACAAAGAAACTTCCTCTTCCTCAGCTTTTTGGTTCTTTTTGCTTCGGATTTCCTACACTGTCATTCGTTACTTAGCGAGGAGTTCCACTCAATACTTAAATTGGTTATAAGTGCTTTAAGCCTTTCGGAAGTCTTAAAAGTGATAATGGTTATTTTGCTTGTATAGATTGGCTCGAAATATTAATTACATCCGTTATTTTCAGTTGCAAATATCAAACAAAGGTTTTTATCTTGAAGATGCTGATCATATGCTGGTAGAAAGTACTTTCAGCGAAGATCACGGAAAAGTAAGAGGATCTTAAAAGCGTCCTACGACTGGCGATATGCCATTTTACAGTTATAAGAGAATCACCTATGCCACTCTGTTGTTGCTAACTCTAAGACCTTTCTGGGCATCAAACAGTACAAGTGTGCTCTCGCCAGGTAAGATTATAAATCCGACAGGTAAAAGTATAGAGCAGTATCTGAGGGCATACAAGCAGAAAAATAAAGGATCGAAATAGAGAGAGACTATTATGACCATAAAAAAGTCATTAATTTTGACGAACGTTTCGTTCGCATGCACTTTTCAACAATAATGCCGCACACGTCAACGCTCCTTTAGCCTGTTTGGAAAACTGTTAGTCAACGAGATAGCTGTCGAAATTATTATGAATTTACACACGTTTTGCTTTTAGGAATTTTGGTTCAATCATTTTTTCACTGCATTTGCCGGAATCGTATCATTTATGTTACATAAAACAATCTCTGTTATTTTTCAAAGAGAAGAATGTTTTGTCATTTTGATCAAATCAGAAGCCTGTTACCTCAAGATTAAATTAAAACGTTGTTTAACATTCAGCACTAGATTTCAGACTTACTCACTAATGACACCTCCGGAAATTTTTCCATTGCTTATATCGTGTTGTTTAAATACAGACAACGTCCTTAAACGCATTTAACAGAGCATTGTTTCAGTCTTACCAGCGAATGCCTCACTGGGGAAACTGTTTTACAACTTGTAATCAGCAAATTTAACCTCTCTCCAACCCCTAAGATAGAAAGAAAAGAAGAATTTCGGTTTTAACTGCCTTGATTATTCAAAGAATAAAAATGAGAATGAATTTGAAAACCTTTCTCTGGCAATAGTCATTATCAAAATTGTAGATCACAAAGCTCACATAAGTGTTTAACCTCGATAATCTGCACATTGTCATGATAACGTTTCAGACATGGATTTTGTTTCTACAATTCAGACTGCGATTTCGATAACTCTACTTTATGCGATTGGGAAAATGACAAAACAGGGATAGTACAGATCAATTGGATTGTACAGTCAGGGGCCACGCCAAGCCAATGGACTGGACCTCAGTCTGACGTGTCAGGTAACTGTTACAAATAGCGCAACTTTAAATGCAAGAATTACATATCTTGAAATTTCCAGACTTAGCTGATGGAGTGTTGCACTCATCGCTGTTTAGCTTTAATTCTTTAATAAGTAAGTGCCACAGGTTTATAATGGTACCAAGCGGTTAGGTTTAAGATTTGCAAGCATGCGATCTTCCATTTTATACATTATTTTAAAGATTAAAAGCTTTGTACGTGATCAACTCGCAGAGGCAATTTCGTTAATGTTAATTTCTCCATAGGCCACGGAAGGTATGCGTACGTGGAGGCCAGTGGTCGTAATCATGGTGACAGGGCTAGACTTATAAGCCCCAAAATGCAAGGTCCAAAGTGTTTGTCAGTTTGGTACCACATGTATGGTAGTTCAATGGGGAGCCTCATCATTTACCTGAAAACAAATGACAGTGAGATGATACAATGGATTAAATCAGGAAATCACCCAGACCAATGGCTGCAGGCAGCTGTATTCGTTAATTCGTCTGTTGAATATCAGGTGACTTATTCCTCATTCCCTCAAGGTTTATTTTAATAAAATTGTATCCAACGCTTTTGACTTCTTCACCTGAGAACTCTAACCTAGTGAATCCCTTTATGAATCTTTTTTTTGCATTGCTGTTCTAATGTTCAAAATTGTCCTTGAGTCTTCCTATTATCTTTAAAACAAAGAATCGAAATAGTAAAAAGATACGTGTTACAATGACCTTGATGGTAAAATGGCTTCCTTTTGAAATGTATATACATGTACGAGCATGAAAAAAAAATGTCAGTAATATGTACTTTTGATTCATCAACGCAAAGTGATTAAGATGTACTTTACCTTTCAGATAGTGGTTGAGGCTATCAGAGGCTGGTATTTTGCAAGCGATATCGCTATCGATAATATCATTTTGTCAAATGGAAAATGCCAAAATTTAGGCAAGTGAAACTGTTGAAAATTCCAATTATATTCTTTGAAGAAGACAAGGTAATGTCACGTGTCGTTGCTGTATAAACACTAGCAACCCGATAGCCAACCAGTTGTATTTTTATAAATTCCACTTTCTAGATAATTGATTTACTGCGAGATATTTATCAAACTGAAATATAACTCTATGATCGCTCCATTTTTAATGTCAGCTCAGAGAACTTCGTCTAATTCTAGAATGCCTCCTTTCAATTGAATGCGTGAATTAAATACACCTTTTCTAAACCTATAAATTCCTCTGGTTTTTAAATTGGTACTTAAGTTACTCCTGCCCTACGGTGATACATTGAAATTGCGCTGATGAGATTAATTTTCACGTAATTAATTTTCTCCTATTTGTCTGATTTAGTCACACAAAACTTGCATGCGTACATTAAGAGAGATTCTGCGAAGACTGTGGCTTTCAAGCTTGACAGAGTTCCTTGTCATAGTGGCTGGATTCATCAGTTCACGATGGAAGCTCAACAGACCAGGAACACCTCTGCTGACATAATGTATTTTATTTACCCGGTGGACTCAGCTCATTGTAGAAATGGTATATCTCGAAATATTTCATTGAATGATCTCGGATGTCTCCCTTTTGACTTCTTTTATTCTTCAAGCGCTCACCTAGAAGGTTACCGCAAAGTTCTGCTTATTAATCGAGGCCAGGATTCACCTCTTGGGGTTACACTAGCTGACTATCAACCTTGTTGCGATCAGACGATTCAAGAATGGTTTTTCGCGAATATTTCATTACGCGGTGAGTCAATTTCCAGGGGCGATTGATTGGGAAATAAACGTTTGCTGGAAGAGATAATAAAAATTGAATATTGGACGATGCGAGGCCAACTGCCGTAGGAAGAAATATAATCTACTTTGAGTAATGTCCAGCTATGTTTAGTAGCTATACAGAGTTTTAGTGTTAAAAAGTGCAACCGTGACATTCTTGCTGCAGAATGGCCAAAACAAATCTTTTAAACCCAGAATGCAATCGCATACCACGTAGGATTTATCATTATGAGGTAGGCACGATGATTAATTAGAGCTACTTTAAATTTTTCAGAACAAAGCTCCTGTCTTCCTGGGTGGCGCAGATTAAATTCCAATTCCTGTCTCCAAGTGCACTTGACTCTACCGAAGACTTGGGATAACGCCAAATTAGACTGTTACAACAGAGGAGGGCACCTTGTTGTCCTAAAGGATACCAAAATTGCTCAAAAAATATCTGAAGTCCTTGATGAATATCTAAATGAATGGGAAACCTATAATGTAGGAGCCCACGCTGTCAGTGACAGCCAATGGATAACAGTTAGAAACAAGATTTTTCCTTTCGATAAATTCCAATCATTATGGGGTCCTTACGAACCATCTGGAGACGGATGGTGTGGTAATATGATAAACGGCGAAAAATGGAATGATGCTTGGAAAGGAAAAGGCTGGCGAATTAATGATGTAAATTGCTTTTCAAGACAAGGATATATCTGTGAAAAGAAAACCTCAATTTCCGGTGAGGATAAAGTCTTTTTAAAACAAACCAAGGGAAAACGTACCATCAATAATGATTTGTTATTTCAAGATCTGCCGAGAGTGTGCAGCAACCCTATTCAACCTGTGCTGGGACACACCAAATTTCGCATTTTTCTTTGTAATTGAAAAGTGAAAGGAATAGTGAGATCTGGTAATGCCATTGCAAATGCATTACTTATTTTTTTTTAATTTCCCAGGAGCGTCCTGTGAAGATGGCTGGTTTGAAGTGGAAAAGTCGTGCTTTAAAGTATTTGCTGGCGATGTTTCCGTGGACTGGCAAACAGCCCGTCAAAATTGTCAAGAACAGTCAAGTGACTTAGCCATTGTGGATACCGAGATTAAAAGAAAAGCGATGGACACGCGCCTTGACAAAAAAGATCAACATCTGCCAAATGTTGATATTCAGGTCTTTATAGGAATACTAAGGCTCGGTTTGTGGCAGTGGCTTGGAGATGGACACATCTCAGCAGATAGCTGGCACCAAGGATATCCTCTTCGTTCTCCAACTCAACATTGTGGGTTTTTGGAAAAGCGTTCGCAGTGGAAACTTCTTCAAAGCCAGTGCAATTTCCAAAGAAGCTATCTGTGTGAAACAGAGGAGAGTACGTATATCAATATCATCATTTTACTATAATCTTGTCACCATGGCAAACAATTGATTGGAAATCCCCCCTCGTTTTCGCTCATTTCTTTATTTTAACGCTTGAAATGGCAAAAGTCGCCATGAAACAAAACAAAGAGCTTGGAGCCTTGTCGTTTTTGTTTATGTTTATTTGCTTTGTTATTGGTCGTTTGTTTTGAGAACATTAGCTTACAAATTTCTGATATATTGGGTAACTTTCGCCTTTTTTTTTTCAATTTAGGGAATTATATTGCTAGGCGACCAACAGGCAAGTCGTTGCACGCGGATTTCATCGGGACGTCTGCCCAAGTGGTTGATGGAAATATTGCTTCTTGCTTTACGATGAAACGAATAATAGTATGTAATTTTATTCATATTTAATTGTTTGATTTCTAATTCGCTTTACTATAGTACGCTCCAGGATTAACTCAAAATTAGTTTTAATTTGAACCAAACGAGACTTAACTGATGTTCTTCTTTAGTCCAACGACGAACCTCTTTGGTGGAGTGTTACTCTGGAAAGAAAGGCATTTGTTTACAAAATGTTGGTGTTAAACAGGCCAGACTGTTGTTTAGAACAATTTCCTAACCTACATGTTACATTAAGAAACCGCAAGGAATTTGCTTTAGCAAACTGCGACGTTTATGATTGGAGGACAGAGTATAAGAGATTGATGATGTGCGAACCGTCTATTGAGGCTACGAGTGTAACCATATCGGCTCATGATGTCACCAGTTTAACTCTCTGTGAGGTTTTGGTCACTGCGACGGGTAAGGTGTTTTTCTACTCTTTTGGAAGTAAAGAGTTAGAATTAAGAGAAGAAAAGTCCGATTATACTATGCTGCTCTACCTTTCCGAGAAAACCCACTTAGGATAGTCATCTGTATCATTTTTCTCGCTGTTATATTATTGAGTACAGGGCATTTCTGCTGTTTGACAGTCTAATTATGTCACTTTTCACTTACGCAATTGAGGTGTGGGCTTCTGCCCACTACAGTAAATATCTCTCTCATATTGACAAGTTTTATAAGAGAGCTTTACGTTATGGCTACACTAGCAAATACACTCCCATAATGGATGTAATTAGAATGAAAGACAGGCTTCTTTGGGACGAGATAACCTCTGACAGCGCAAATCCATTACATGAACTTTTACCAGCTCAGAGAGCTAGGAGCCTCAGGAAAAGAGGACATAATTACATCCTGCCTCCAGTCAGAACCGAACGCTTTAAACGTTGCTTTTTCAATAGATGTCTTTTTGAATTTGTGTAGTTACTTAGTTTTGTATATACATAATAGATAGATATATGTAGGAAATTGTAAGTCCAGACGTTTTGTTTCTGGACGTGTTTCTTTTTAATAATAAAGATCTTTATTATTATTATTATTTCCTTTGAAATTCTTTCTGGCCGTTTCCATCTATGAGTTATGGCATTCAGTTAGAGTTTTTAAGTCTCATAAAGAAAATGGGTGAGCAGAACTTTGCATGCTTTTAGATTTTGATAATTTTTAATTGGAACAGGGTTAAGAACTTATTTTTACAATTTTGGCTCCTTTTTTTTACAGGCTATGAGGTAACTGCCCATGGCGTTCGTCAAGAACTTTGGTATCAGATACCTTCTACAGCAGTAGAAAATTTGTTAGATGACGGGAGGTTTCCGAAAAGTCCAGATGCTGTCAGGATTCTTCAAAATTTGGATGCGGGGAGAAATTTTCACTACAATTACGGACAACGCCTTGCAACATACCTTCAGGTTTGCTGAGAACAATGTTTCAAATTTGTAATGAGAAATGAATAATGCTGAAAGAATTCCCATCATTTTGAAAGCTACAAAAAAATTGATAATCCCTGCAAAAATTCAATTTAGAGATAAATGAGAGAGTACGTTTAAGTACCATCGATTGACGTCTTAATCATAGTGCATTTCGCCTTCGCATTTGTAAGTATGGGTGTATGTATGTATGTGTGTATATATTTGCGATATGTAGGCAGGCTGGCCCTGTTTAGCTTTGAGCTGGCTCAAATGGGGGGCTGTAAAAACAATGACAAGGCCAGAACACGGTACCGCTACGTTCCATACTCTTTGCAGGAAGTGGGTGGGTTCTTTAATGTCCCCTAATAGCCTGTACAGAAAAAATGCAGGAGACAGGCCCACAATTTATCGTCCTTATATGAGAATAATAAACATTTGCAGATGTCATAGAAAAGGCAGCAAGTTATTCTGCAGTTGTCAAAGAAAAGGCCTCAGTTGTTTAAAGACTATTGCGGTATAATTTAACCGACAGAAAGAGCGGTATTCTCCAAGAAACCCAACTACTGTATTAAAACAAATTGTAATATTATTACTAAGGAGCGACTCCTAATGGCGGTACAGTAATTATCCTCGATAAACTTATTTAAGCCCACCGCTGTCTATATCTAGGCTCATCACTGACAGATACTCACCGCTGTCTCCAAAGTTCCCTGAAATGAACAATCTTCCACAATAGCCCTTTCTCGGTATAGCTTTCTAACCGTGTCAGTCACTCCCGACAATAACAAAAACTGCTATTACTACACGACTGAGTCCTTACATTTACAAAGTATTCTAGAAATTTCCAGATATTTATTTTACAGTTATTATTCCAAACAAGTGTTAGTCTGGTCTGGGGTTTGAACTTTGGACCTCCCTCACGGCAGTCCGGCGCTCTACACCGTGAGTCCACTAGAAAACATTTCATGCGTAAACAATTTTCTCAAAAGGTTCCAGAAAATGGAAATTACACATTTTACGTTGCATGTGACGATGCTTGTCAGCTATGGCTTCACATGCCCCAAGTGAACAACTTGGTGGATGAAAACGATGAAGAAACAGGCAAGAAGCGTTTGGCTGAATTAAAGTCGGGCTACTGGACGGATTATAATCAGTGGAATAAGTAAGAACTATTTCTTTGATTTAGTATTTATACACGGTTGTGAGTGGAACGTTACATTGTTTCTTAAGCAAGGGGATCTGATTAATGTTTGTTCGTTTGTTGGTTCTTCACACTTGGATTGAGGAATCGATGAAATTAGAACCATCTTCAACATTCTTCACCATGAACTTTGTAAATTAAAATTAGTATTCTATTATTTGTGACTGGCAGTTTTAGTTCTCAGGAATTTTTTTTTATTGTATCCAGGTACCCTTCATCACAGACTTCTGAAGAAATTTGGTTGAGTAAATGCCACTTCTATTTCATTGAAACACTCATGAAACAAGGAGTTGGGAAAGACTGTTTGTCAGTGGGAATGAAGTTACCAAACGGCACTTACGAGCGTCCCATTCAAAAAGCACACTTGTTCTGGGTTCGGCCTGGTAAACTGGATAAACTAATGAATACACTACTGGTTATTAAAGTGGTTTATTTATAGTATTAATTTTACTTAGTCAAACATCAAAGTAATCACAGCTCCCTTTTTATGAAGATTGTGCTCTGACTACGAAACTGTCTTTGAGTCAAGCTTCGAGTAATGTTATTAGCAGTTTTTATGAACTACTTTGCTGTCGTGGGAGCGTTTAGGAGAAGCAGATGAAGCAAATTAAGGAAGATGATTTTTCATCTCTTTATTTCCCGCTTGGTTTATTATTGCTGAGTATGAATTGGCGGGGTTTTCGTTTTAGGAGTGACTTATGTAGACTTTGAGATGGATTACCTTCCTAAAGTTATCAGGACTGGTCAAGAGTTTTCCATCCAGGGTAAGTTTAAATTATTACAATCTTCCCCTCCCCTCCCCCCCCAACATAAACAAATTGTTTCACCCAGATAAAAGGATTTGCATCAAAGGTGGAGACATAGTCAATTGTGTCATCTGTACATGGAAGGAAGTATCAAGTTAGGTAACCCCGGTAGCAGATTTCAATAGAGAAATATGGCGACAAATATGCAGCCTGTTGAGACTAAAGCAAGGAAAAATTGTACTGATGTCAGAATAGACCTAAACACATCATAACAAAATAAATCGTATCATTGCGTTAAAATACTTGAAGATACTTTAATGGATATTTTTAAGTCAACTTTTGTTTTTACCCTTGGTACAGCTACTTACAAACACTGTTGTCGTGGATTACTTTGCCCAATGTGTCCGATTCAACTTTACTTTAAATTTGCTGGGAAAACAAGTCTCGTTGACAGCAGCTTGAGAGTGGATTGTCAAGAAAAATATTTCAATACCACACTCGAAACTGTGCTTCAAGAGGGAATCTATTTCTTAAACGTAAGTCAGGATCAGTGTTTCATATTTCGGTGAAAGATCTAACTTACCATGATTTTTTTAAATCAAGGTAAGACAAGGGAGAGCCGTAAAAGCTAAGATGATTCCTGCAATCTGATTGGCTACCTAGGCTAAGTATTCAGGTCAGAATTGTAGGCTGGAGGTCAAGCTGACTATTATCACATCGTTTGGTGACACGCTTAATTAGGAAAAAAACCTGCGTTCATGATGAGCAATGAGTTCCAAACTGAACAGTAGAATAGCCATCTTAGCTTATCTTGAAATTCCTAATCGACCTTTCTTCTGTTTAGATTCGTGTTTTCTCTTTGCTTCGGTATCGTAAATGAACTCGGGTACAAATCAGGCGTCTATGTGAAGTTCGATGAAAAGTACACATTGTTGTTCAATTGGATACTACTTCATCGATCGTTAGAATAAATGAATTGATGTTTGAAAATATTAGCCTTTGGGAACTATGAGCTTCATTACCTAGCCTCTCCTTACCAGACAATTTAAAAAGGTTACTGAAAATAGTGCACGTGGGACATTAATTTGGACCGTGTAAACCTTTTTTTTTTCACCTGGAAAGTAGGTTCGCATTTTGTTAGATATCTATTCCGGCTCATAGTTGAGTACCTTACTATGTGGGAATACAAAGCCATAACATCCTTTTAGGAACCGTTTGAGGCTTTTTTAAACACTTCAATTTCTTTTAATTTCATAATCTTTCCCTCAGATTTCATATAGATTGGAGGAAGAGATATCACATTTAACTGAAATAAATAGGCAAATCGGCGAGGTTCATATTAAAGGTAACACAAGTTTCAATAACTAAAAAACAATATTCCTTGCCTTTTTCTTCTTGCCTTTCTTACTCTCTCAGTTCGTTCCTTTTTTTACATTTTTTTTTCTTGAATGCCTAATAATGTGGTTTCCCTGGTTTTTGCTTATTTCTTTTTGGCTTCGTCAATTTGTTCATTCATTTAACCAGGATTCTTCTTTTAATGATTTATGTGTGAGATCGTTCACGTATCTTTAACCACACTGATCGTTTCTGGATTTATATGTGAATTTTCCTGACCTTAAATGTGTTATTGCTTCCATTGCTGGTATTAGTTTTGAAATAGTTACCATAGTAATGATATTACAGCAATGAAAATAACGATAACAATGATAATAATAATAACAGTAATGACAATAATAATTTTGATAATTATAACAATTATATATAGTTACTAAGGATGATTATCAGTTTTATCTTTTTCTCCTCTGAAACTTCTTCTCTTTAATGACGATATCACATCCTTCAAATAAAATAATAAAATTGTTTCGTCCTACGGATAGCTTTGGAAATCAATGGTTGCAGATTTACTTCTGACTTGTGTTCTTGGATAAATACCGATCAAGGATGGAAACTTGCAATTGAGTCAGGTAAAGAAGAGATAGAGTGACGCTCGTACAGCCACTTTTTGGTGGGAATTTTGTTGTGGTCTTTATATGTATTAGGCTATTTGATACCTAATCTTGACTTTGCATTTAATTTCTTCTTCTAAGATACGTAATAATTCAATGAGCACTACAAAGTGCTATTGTTTTCTCGGAGATATGTGATAGTTTTATGAGCACTATGAAGTGCAATTATTTCCTTAACTATTTTGATACATTCCCACTTTTCTCAATATCGACAGGGATCCTTGTTCACGAAAGCAACAGACCGGCTGTTCTTGAGAGTCCCTGGATAATCACCAATTCTATGAGCCAGAAACTTGGGTTATGTTTAACCCTCTCTTACTTTCTTCCGACTAATTATGGATCTATTAGTATTATCCTGATAGCGAAGGCAAATTCGTCAATTTGGAGTCTCACTGGGTACCAGGGTAGTGCCTGGCTCAATGGAAAAGTATCAATAATGACAGACGAGAATTTTAAGGTATAACATTTTTAAGCTTACCAAGTTACTTTTGCATGTAAATCCACCAGACGCGTGAAAACAACACTCTTTTAGCGCCTTTTACTACAAAAACTGAAACTGATAGAAGTATGAATGTTTGCTTCAGGGTGTAATTAAGGTGCAATTTAACAACGGCAACCATTAAAACAACAAGGTATCAAGTTTTTTATCAAGCTGTTGAATAAAGCAACTTTTTGTTACCTGCAGGTAAGAATAGTTGCTGAGGGGAAACAATCATCAAGTCAGCATAGAACAGCTGTTGATAATATAACAATCTCTACCAAAACATGTGAGCGATCTCCGCCTCATAGTTCACCAGGTACGGAAAACTGGTTATCTGCTAATATTTTAGTTGTGCCAAGTGGACTCTCAGTGTGTGACCCAAAAATTTATACCTTTTAATGGTTTTACAAATGGAAAAAAATTTTAAAAAATTCATTTCGTTTGAAAAATTGACTCAACTTGAAACTAAAACTTTATTTTTAATCAATAATTAGAGAAACGTGAATTGATGCTTAGGCTATTTCTATTAGGAATTTTTTGAGGCAAATAATCGTTCCTTGTGTGTATTATGCTCGTTAACAGACTTCACTTGTGGAGCTAACAGCTTCCAGTGTGACAACGGACAATGTATTCACAAAGAATTGGTTTGCGATGGTGACTCTGCCTGCGTGGACGACTCAGATGAAAAAAATTGTAACTGCCTTACTACTCAGTTTATTTGTCCAACTGGAGAATGTCTCGACGAGAATGACTTGTGTGATTCAAAGCAGGGCTGCAAGGACAAATCTGACGAATCCAGATGTGGTAGGCAAAGGCTGCTTTTGAAATGCATTGTTTTCGTGGAGTGTGTATTTAAGGTATACAAGTTTTGACGCGCTTCGTGCCCTATCTATTATCAATTCTTGTTGGGTTTGTGCAATAAATTGTTTGATCACGACTTTGTGTGTACCAATGTGCCACGACATACGTTGGCTGTAAATGTATTCTATGAACTTATCAAAGAAACGGCTGAAAGGCTCACATGGGAAAAGGAGCAAACATATTTAGAATATTTTCCTTTTAATTGTTATTATTATTATTATTATTATTATTATTATTACTATTATTATTATGATCACTTTTTAACAGAATTTTGTTTGCAGAAGGAAGCAGCTGTCCCCAAAATAGATTCTCCTGCGCTGGTGGTGAATGCCTTCCATGGTCTTTAACATGTGATTTTAAAAGAAACTGTGAGGATGGTACGGATGAGCCATCTATATGTGGTTAGTGTTTCCTTTAATGCACTTTCAGTTTTGAGCAAAGAACTGTGGATGATGTTGGTTTGTCTATTGCACCTAGTGTCATATGGATCATCATGATTCATTGGAAATAAAGTAATTTCAAATAATTTCACACACTTAGTTATGTATAATGGTTATGAAACTACGCTACTTTTCTGTTTTCACGTTTCAGGTTATTCAAACTGCTCACTTTTAGATTTAGGGTGTGCAAGACCTAACTACACGCACGTTACATCTCCGCATGCATGTAGTGGGAACAGAGGTAAGATGCCTGGATTTTCCAATAGGGATGGCCACAACCATCTACATTGTACAAGCTAATATTCTAACTTGAGCCACGGCTTTAAGCAACTGTTGAGTGCAAATGTTTTAGCTACTCGTGCTCATGGATAGAAATCAATTGCACCTGTTTAACTCTACCAGCAACGCCAGGCTATTACCAGAAAAAAAAAATAAAACAAAATGTCAAATAAACTCAAACGATTTGAAAGCTGTGATATTGCCGATCAAAGAGGGGTTGGGGGAAACTCCACATTCTGTCTGATCAATTCATACTCTGCTTATCTTGAAACTGGTGTAGTCTTTACATATCAAGACCACAACGACTCGTTGCTCCATTTTAAATTCCTATTACAGTCGTACGAGGCCAGACAGCCCACCGTTAAGGCAACCACTGGTACAAAGCTTAATCCCTGTAGCCAACAAAATTGTCCCCCATTTGCTCATCTTTTTTTTTCTATCTTTTGCCATATAATATATTACATATATTATAATATATCGATTTATAATGTCTTATGTAGCTAAGTGCGACTTCCAGGATGGCCTTTGTGGATTGACAGAAGATTCCAAAGTTCGATGGAGCATTGGCTCAGGTTCAACACCCACAAAGGATACTGGACCGGACTATGACCATAGCACATATGGACCTGCAGGTGGGTGCTGCCGAGAGGACAGTTAGCTGTGTAAGTAAGTTAGTAAGTAAGAATCACCTTAAAATTTAGGTCAAGAGGAAAGTGTCCTTATCAATCGCGATTTCGCAAAACTTTTGACAATAAAAATGAACGGTAAAAATGACTTTTCGACCAAACTTCGGTCATTTTCAAGTGAATGTCACGATGAATATATATATGCTTGTAAGAAGTACAGATTTTTTTTGAAATGTAAACAAACGATAAGAACATATAAAGAGAAAAAATAATTAGAAGCTAATTAAACATCAAATTAAAAATAAAAATTGACGAATTGAGTCCGACAGCATATTGAGAGCAGGTCTCAGTTTTTAAATAAAAACATTTCATAAAGCAGGCAATCCAATTTTTTTGTACACTTCTCTAAAAAACTAAAACTCTTTGTAAGATCCCTTGGGGCCAAAGAATGCTTGTCGCCAAAATGTTTGCCAATCAATGAAGTCGCGTTTCTGTGTTCTTGAACACTTGTGTGCTGATGGCGGCTTGTAAAACCCACATAACCTGCATCACACAGGTCACACTTAAATTTGTAAATAAGCAGCCTTGCGTGACATGCCCATTCAACGCTAACGTTACCAATGGTAACCAAAGGGTATGGACCAATGAAGGATCCCCAGTGTAACAACATTACTTCGCATTTTGAAGAGTTTTATTGTTAGCGAGTTAGTCCTGCACATTTTGTGAAGCTCGTCAAGCGCGTTGTTTGTAGGTAAAATGCTTCTTCAACGGTTGAGCAAACTGTCGTATCGCCAGGACACAGGTAGAAATTGCCTAATATCAGAGCCTTCGGCATGTCATTGGTGCACAAGCCAAACAAACATAGACCTAACCCTGATCCTTGTGGGAAGCCGCAAATCATAAGTAGCTCTTCCGACTGAGGGGAGTTCACAACCATTACCTGTGTCCGGTGATTCAGATTACATGTAAGCCAAGAAAGAAGATTGCTCTCGATTCCAAATTTGATCTTCAGTTTATGTAACAGGGTATTTTGAGAAAAGGCGCTGTCCACTAGATTATTATCAACAGCTTGTATCCAACTTTCTTTAAGTCTTGGGCATAAGTAAGGGTTTCTTGAAATTTCTGTTCCCACCGCAAGGATATTTAACAGTCTTTCCTTCATCCATGGTTTGGATGAATATCTCTTGCCTTTAAAGGCAGTTGAAACGAGCCAACAGCCTCTGTGTTTTGTCGGAGTTTTAGTGTCGTAAACGTCCTTCGCTGCGTGTACTTCGACGAAAGAAGAAACGATAAAGTATCATCCGTGTAATTGAATGTCGGGCCTCACTATCACTTGCGCTTGAAAATCAAAAGGTTGTCTCGTTGATGCGAAACCAAAACCAGGCATAGAACCAGAATAAAAGATCAAAGACAAGTCCAAATAGACTTAACATTTACGAAGCAGAACATCACACGCATCGCCGCCATCACACAAATGATCACCCTCTTAGTTACTTTATAGTTCATTCATTTGAATTCCATTTCCTTTTTCACAGGAAGGTACATTTATCTTGAGGCATCACACTATGGTGCTGGTGACGCTGCCGTCTTGACTAGTTATGCAATCGGTGCTGGCATAGCAACATGTGTGCAGTTTTGGTATCATATGAAAGGAAAAGACGTGGGCAGTTTAAATGTTATGATCCTGAAGAATGACTCAAGGATAATAGTATGGAGTCAAACTGGCCAGCAAGGTGCTGATTGGCTCTTTGGTCAAGTTGGATACAAAGACGTTTTTAACAGCTACAAGGTCTTAGTTTCGCTATTACTGTTCACAGTTTCAAAAGGAATTTCAGTCATTTGTTCCTTTTGTTCTTCCGTCATAATGTTTTCTTTGGGATACAAATTCACACCAATGAACTAGTTCTACTATATATCAACTTTAACAACGATGGGTCCAACAATCGATAACGATTGCCTGTATAATTTTTATTATTCAAATCCTGAAAAATGTTTTAAAAATGATCTCTCCTGTAGATTATGATAGAGGGTGTTCGTGGAAATGGTGTTCATGGAGATATTGCTTTAGATGATCTTCTCATCCTGGATGGAGAAAATTGTCAAACCGTATATGGAAATGGTTAGCTTTCTATTTCATCCCATGTTTCTTAAACTGAGAAAGATATAATTCGTTAAAAATACATTTAATGATTTGCAACGGCGGTACTTATGCTAAGTCTTCTGTTTAAATCAAATCATCTAGGATAAACGCAACGACTTACTTACAAATAGGATTGTGACCGAGTGTAAGGTTTTGGTTTTAAGTCATACTCCACATGTACCATATAGTATCTCCTGAATCAATAAAAAAAAATCATTGCATGTTATCATTAATTTTTGCTCGTCAAAATAGAACAGTTTTATAAGATTTATAAGATTTAAGGCTAAGAAATGTATCTCTCTTCTTCTGCTCAAGAAAACCCTGGATGTCTATTTGAGCAAGGTCATTGCAATTGGAAGCCCAGCGGAACATGGCTGATGAGCAAGTTTTCCCCTTCACTCTTCTTAAGGGATTGGGAAGGCACAAGTGGTAGGTCAATAGTTTTAAGTCATATCAATGAATAAGAATTGAAAGATTTCAAAGAATGCAAGAACAATATTTTGCTCCTATTCTTTAAAGGAGGTTTTACTTATGACAAAGGATGTTCGAGTCTGGCTAACGGAGGGGCAGGATGTTACGGAAGTTTAACAAGCCCACATATCTCCGCTAGAGCGGGTTGGAAGTGTTTGCAGTTTTGGTATTACATAAGTAAAGGAAGACCTTCTTCTCTTCAAGTGACTTTAATTTCTAACGACGCACAAAAGACTTTGTTGACTTCCACTAAGGCAGGAATCTGGACCTTTGCTCGTTTGCCCATCATTCCATCTTCAGATTCCTACCAAGTAAGTAAAGCAGGAGTCAATTCAATAAAACTTTTACACTTGTATTTTACACGTTGGACCGTTGCTTTTACAAGCGCGCAAAAAATCCAATTCAATAACTGTCTTTACAAGCCAAAGTTACAAGTGTCCGACTTGTAGTTACAGGTGTAGAGCTACACGTGTAGAATGTGAAATTAGGTCAGTTCAATAAAACGTTTTACAGGAGTCCAACTTGTTTTTGGCCTGCGGTCCACTTGTAAAATACAAGAGCAAATTACAAGTCATAAGTCACTTGTAAACTTCGAGAGCAAATTGTTGTTGGCCTCATTTAAAGAGATAGCATGTCATCTTCGAGTGAAGAAGAAATAGATGAACTTTTGAGAAATAGAATAAGACGACAGCCGAGGAATTTTGAGGAAAGACGGCTTTTCGACGTAGAAAATCCACGCGAATTTCGACAGAAGTTTCGTCTCCCAGTCGATGCATTCGAACATTTACTGGCAGCAGTGGGTCCGCAATTGGAACACAGAACACGGCGCAACAGAGCGTTGACGGCGAGACAACAATTGTTAGTATTTCTCCACTTCCTTGGTACGAACTCGTTTTACCATGTGATGCATTCGTGCCATGGAATTTCAACATCAACGGTTTGGAATGTCATAGACCGCGTTACGCCGGCAATACTAAGTTTAAAGCGAGAACTTGTTTGTTGGCCCAAGCAGCCCCTTCGAATCGCTTCAAAGTTTCATGATATAGCTGGGTTTCCTTGTGTTGCTGGTTGCGTGGATGGAACCCATGTTCTGGTAAATCCCCCGGCTGGTGATGAAGATGCATACGTGAATCGGCATCATACGAAATCCCTCAATGTGGCCATGGTTTGCGGCCCAGATTACTCAATATATTTCTGTAGCAGCCGATGTCCTGGGAGATGGCATGACTCGCGGGTTCTCAAAGAGAGTACTCTGTGGACTGCATTTGAAGAAAATGCTCAGAGGCCATTCCCTGGAGCAGTAATTCTAGGCGACTCTGCCTACTCGTGCAACAGCTGGCTGATTCCTCCTTTCAGGGGAGATGTAGAAGGTGCTCGCCTCAGGTTTAATGAGGCGCACAAGAAAACCAGAAGCACCATAGAGAGAGCCAATGGTGTTATAAAAAAAAGATTCTACACTCTACAAACAGGCTTAAGAGTCAGAAGTATGGAACGAGCTGCTGAACTTATCCAGTGTGCAGCCATACTACACAACATTTGCATACTATTTAACGATGATGGTGCTGATCTTTTGGATGACGAAGATCTGGAAATTGATGAAGGGGAGTCTGCCGAGCAAGACGAGGGGCAGGAGGACAGGCGACAAGAGCTCTTGGCGCATTTTCTTTGAATTAAAGTGAGACAATGTCGATCGATGTGAAATCAAATTGTTAAGGGCCTTAAAAACATTTAGTTTACATTTCTTATTCGATCTTCATTATTTGCAGATATTGTATTTATAAAACTATAATGATATGCTTAGGACGATCCCCTAGCCCAAATATGAAATTGAAAAAGAGCAGAAGCTGTCATTGAATTCATTAAACCATGGTATGAGCTATGTCATTGAAGTCATTTCAATAATTATTGATATCCTCTTGTCCGTTGCCCTCCCTCTAATAATTAAACAAATGATTGCAAACCACCAACCTTCTAAGACTAATTGTTTTTATTAACGGCGTGATTACTTTCTAACAAAGTGATACAATTCTGTAAATTATTAACATTATTAGCTTTCATTCTCTTGATTGCACTTACGCAATTCTCAAACTTAACAGTCAAATTATTTCTATTAATCCATCGCCTAGAAATCTTTCTTCATTATTTTAATCTCCAAGGACAACTTTGAACACTCTAAAAGTAGTTTTCTTTTCCTAATTCGTAATATGTCTTCTTCTAATTCTGCTGTGGAACTGACAGTGGCCTTTTTCAGCCGCTTCTTCGATTTGATGGTAGGCTTTTGGAATACTGATGTCTTGTCTTCTTTGGCTTCCTTTGGTTTGGCTGAAGGTTTTGTTTCATGCTTTGCTTTTGCATCTAAATGAACAAAAGATTGGTAGATACATGAAAATCTCATCTTTAAACTCATCGCGTTTGAACGAAGCTAAGTTGCGATTAAAGTAAGAAAGAAACATTTTCATTTGGGAACGCGATAATCGCGCCTGACCTAGCTTCAAATTGACAACTTGCTCGCAGAGAAACGAAAGAAGGACATTTTGATTTATAAATGTTGTTTCTGGTTATTCTAAATTATCTCACCTTCGGTCTCAGGTGTAGTGCAGACAACCTCTTCACTCTCAAACACAATTGGTGTGTCTTCAACCTTCACAGGCTCCAAGTTTGCGCTCTCTCTTCCAAGTATATCAAGGACTGTATCGTCCAGCTCTGTGAGTTCACTCCCTCCTGCACCGGTCTTTTTCGAGTCACTGACTTTTTTTATCGTACCGCGGCGAATGTTTGCCCAGATAACATCTCTCAGGGTTTTTATGTTGTCGACGTTCGCTCCAACACCATTCAGTTGTCTTAAGATGCTTTCCCACGCCTCCTGTTTCGCCTTTTTCGTTACAGTCGAGGAAAATGGAGCCAAAACAACTGATTTGTTATCCCTCACAAGCTGCGCTAATAGCAATTTCTGGGATTTCGACAACATGCTGAAACGACAGGGAAAAAATCGACGCGGTCTACGAAATAAATTTTCCACACTGAGCTGAAATAATTTGCACTTGTAGTTTACATATCCACTCAGTGCTATTTACAATTGTACGGTTACAATTGTAATTAACACTTGTAGTAAGACTGCTTGTACACGTGTAAATTCCAGTGTTTGAATTTTTTTTATTGAATTCTTGTATTTACAAGTCGGACTTTACATGCGTTTTTTACAACTGTAGAATCTACAAGTGTAATTTCTTTATTGAACTGACCCCAGGTATCAGATCCTGTCAGGCCAAGATATGCTTTATTTACAACAAGCAGTTCGCATCTTTCACTTTGATGCAACTTTTCAAGGTTAAAGCTTCAAATTCAGCCTTGGTTACGTCTATCAGAGGTCTTAAACGTCATTTATTTTGGTTTAACAGGTTTCATTTCTAGGATGGAAGTCTTCAAAAATGATGACTATTGCCATAGACGATGTTGTATTTCAAACTGACAGTTGTGACATTATACCCTGGAGAGGTTTGTAGCACATTACGACATACTACATCTTAGCACGCCTTGGCCTGCATGATTTGCTTCAACATTCGTAAGTTGCTACAACAATATGGTTGAAGGATTTCTTCATTTGAAGTTTTGCTGAATTTAAATAATGTGGTTGATGTTTTTTCTATGAATGGGCTTTGGCGAACTACGCTGTCAATTTGCTAGTGGTGACTTTCCAAAGATACTTTTATAACTATTCAAATGTTTTAATTCGTGGTAGAGGTTATTCGTTTGCCGTTTTCACTCTTAAATTCAATTCTCTTGAACAGAAATCAATTTTTTATGAGAGATACATTTCTCTTCAGAGAAGAATTTATATGTTCAGATTCTTCGTCCCAAGAGGAGAATTATAATTCTGAGGAAAAGAAATGTGGTTCTTTAGGAAAGAACTGTGTGCCTTTTCTCACGGTTAAGAATTCTCATGAGAGTAAGCTTATCTATGTCTGATTCTTGCCATTAGAATACTAGTTTTTCCTGCGAAAACAAGATTCTTTTGCCAAGAACCAGTCGATAAGGTATTCTTCTAAGAGGAAACACTGCTCTCCTACCAAAATGATATCCATTTATGCAGAATTTCATATCTTAAGCAAGAATTACTGCTCTTCCCTCTAAGTTTTCAAGTCTTCTCCAAATAATTTTGTCCTTTACTCAGTTCTGAATATTATTTTTAAAATTGATCACAAAGACCCTCGTTCGTCTCCAGAAATTGACTGTGCTCTTTTAAAGAATCACATTCAAAAGGACTCCTGCAGAAAAAATATTTGAGCTCATCTGGAGACTTAATATTCTGCTGCGCTGAACTACATGCCTTAAATGGATTTTTTATTTATCGAAAGGATGTTTTCCCCCCTAACACAGTTTATATCACTGAAAAGAATCTCATTTTATCTGGTTTTATTTTTTAACATACAATTAACAAAACATAAAATTGACTTAGATGTTAATAATGTTTACATTATCAATGAACAACTAGTTCAATATTTACCCAGATCATATACCAGATCCCAAATCATATATAAGGCCATTGACTGTTACAATCTTCAAACTAGTTGTTGTACATCAATGGCTAGCGTGCCAATTGCAACCCTCAATCCTACTTTTCTGTTCACAAACCTAATTGAAAGGAGAAGGGGTTGATTATGAATATAATTTGTTATGATTTGTACTTTACTTTGTCCAAAAATTCAAAGAAAAAGTATGATTACGTTCAGAGAATTCCTGTCTTCCCTCTTTGACTTAAGTCTAAGTGTCTTTGGGCTGCGCAATCAGCCATTACAAATCAGTGTGCACTTTTTTGCTGTTTCCTGTAATGGTATGTAATGCGATGATTTATAATACGATTTTATTCAAAAAAATTATTTATTTGAAGTTTTATTTGAAAAACTGTTTTTCTGTCGCAGAGGAAAGTAAAGACTATGGAAAAAATCCTTTTAATGCTGGTTATTTCTGGAAACTAGATGGCACTGATAAGGATGTAAGGTATCATGCATGCAAAGAAAAATATTATACTTCATTTTGTAGAGGGATTCAATTTTCCAAAAAAAAAGTTAGTTGCAATTGAGGCACACATATAACACATCTCAACATAACTCACCTTGAGTGAGAAAGTCACGCATTCTTCATGTGACAATGCATAATCTGTGTTCACTGGCCCCTGTATTATTACGTTGATGGGCCACCTAGTTATCATTGTATCACGCTAAAATGCCAGCGATACAAAAGTTGTAGCTTAAAAAGGGATAGAAATAATTTAAAATTATCAAGTTTTTTTTAATAACGAGATCTGTAAGCGTACGCTCGATTTGACTGATTCTTTCCTTCTTAGGCTACAAAGAACGGCTGCTTACAGAACTAAAGATGGAGTTACATCTTTGCACCTCGACGGCCAAGCTGGTTATGCAGAGATTCCAGCAATTGACATACGTAGAAGCAACTTTAGCATATCAGTCCGTTTTAACCTTCAAGACATCCAGTCGTTGCAACACATTTTATCTGATTGGTCAGCACCTTTTCAGTTCCGACTGTATGTATCTGGCAGCCGGGTGCATGTTACTTTGCGACGAGGGGGAAATGTACAAGACCTGTTACTTATGTCTAGTTCCGGGTTTGTATATTACTTGGTTCATGTAACTTCTCATTTGTTTTATCAATTTGCTCCTTTTTTTCTTTTCTTCAATTTACATGCTTATTACTCTGCTAAATTGTTCCTACTCTTTTTTGGGGGGGGGGGGGGGGGTGGTTGTGTTCCATTTCTATGTACTTCAAGGAGAAAAGGAATCCTGGATGCTACTCCGAATTACCACAAATTCGCAAAGCATCAAGCGGAGGATATTTAAACACTGTTAATTGAAAGGAAATTGTTCTCTCACACTCTTCTGGCACTATTTTTCTTTCAGTGCCACAACTGTAAATCGCTCCGAATGCTCTTAAATCTTATTGGTAAATTTTAAGTCTCGTGCATCATTTATGGCCACTAAGCAGGAAATTTTAAAACAGTTGTTTAAATTACAGAAGCAATACTGAATTGGCTGATAAGCGCCTAAAAATGAATAGAACAATCCATAATGATAGACATAGTTAAAAAAGATTGCATATTCAATGATTGATGAATTTCTGATTAATTTTTTCTGAAAGACATATCCGAAAAAATGAATGGATGCACTTGGTATTTACTTGGAACCGTCAAGACCTCAAAGGAAAACTTTATCTTGATGGACAAAGTTTTGGAGAAAGTACTTCCACTTATACAGGAGCGGATATTGATCTTAAGCTGACCACTCACACAGCATATGAAATTGGTCTGAAAAAAGACACAGGGGAAGTACTGCGTGGTTCATTAAGGGATTTGTCTGTGTTGTTACGCACACTGTCACCAGGGGATGTTTTGAAATTGTACAGTAAGTTTTGTTTCCTATTTTTGTTTTGAAGCGTTAGCTCATCAACAGTGGAGCTTTGGCAGCTTAGAGTAAAAGGAGATTTAAGGTAGTTCTTGTGGAGCTTCTAAGGCACTCACTTAAACTTTGTTTGTGACAGCAAATGTCAAATGAACATACCCAGGCCTTAGTACAATGAATTATCTTTATTTCAAGCATGTTTTGTTCTGGTTTACATAAACTGCGTGGGGCGTTATTTAACGTCGATAGCCAACAATAGAAATATCAAACTGAGGTGTTACCGCCCATCTTTACATGTTGAATTTAACTTTTCTTTTCACGTTACGTCAGTTTTTGAAACTGTCCAGCCAAATTTCCCCTTAAACAACGAATAATGTTTTCAAATGTGTGTTTGAACTCTACTATACGGATAAACTTACAATATAGTATTCAAGTTTCACTGAACTCAAAATTAAAGTGTCAGTGTAAGAGAAAAAGACTCGTTAACCTGTGGGATAATAAGTGGCGTTTTCTAGAAAATAATATTCACGTAAATGTCGTATTTTGCCTTATCGATAAATCTCCGAAAGACAGCAAGTAAATCAAACGTGCTGATGAGAATGGTGATGATTATTATGAATAGACCAATAGTGAGGTAGATGTTCCTTTGACCTCTGTGTTACCCAGGACCAACAAGAGCGTTCTGTCCAGTACAAAGTACCATTGATGGATGCTGCAAATTCTCTTTTTCACACAACAACAAGCATCGCAATTCTTGCATGGGTACAGAGACCTTGGGGTGCCAAACCTCTTCAATCGACAATATTTCGAAGTGGAGCCAGTGTGCCTGTGAGTAAAGAAGCTAAAATAGTTTTCATGCACTTGGAAGACAATTACAATTTGAAATATTTTATCATTCTTTCACACTTCTATCCATTTCTTCATTCTTCCATCGGCCCATCTATAGCTATCATTCAATCCACCAATCTAGCCATCGCCCATTTAGGTATTTTTAATTTTTCCACTCTTCTCTTGCAATGTTTATTACCTTTAAGCTTTTTATTTGGTTTTTTTACCCACTTTTAAATTTATCTGCACCTCTAATTTTCTCCTTAATGATGTCCTCTTTATTGCATGAGCGGCGCTTAAATTTTCAAATATATTGAAAGGGTTTTTTATCTATTACTTGCAAGTAAACGGCGGCTGTTTAGAGTTTCGTCACGGCTTTTGTGGGTGGGTCAATTCCAAGATGAGCACCACACCATGGAAGCAAACGAAGACAAATGAAGAGGCAAGATTAGCCCATGTCAAGCCAGGTAAAAACAATTTTTTTTTAAACTCATGCAAAAACGTTCACAAAACTAGATTATGGTGGAATTCTTTTTGTAGGCATACTCAGAATTTTTCTTTCTTTCTTTCTTTCTCTCTTTCTTCTCCTTCTCCTTCTTTATCATTTTGTTTTATTTGGCAATATTCTCCACCTCGAACTAACAATTTTCTCGTTTACTTACTTGTAGGCGTTGAGAAAGAAAGCAATTACCAACTGAACTTTACCGCTGACCATAGCGGCTATGTAAACATTACTGATTTGCCTGATCTTGTGGCTTTCACTGTCTGCTTCTGGATGAAATCGTCAGACGATACCAGTGCAGGCACCCCGTTTTGGTACAGAGTGCGCTATGAAAAAAAGGGAAGATACGTTACTGCGATTGCGCTAATCGACTACAGAGGATTCTATGTCTACACCGGCGAGACAAAATCGTACGTTTCTTTCGTTAATCTTTCATGAACAAGGCTTTAGCTTTATAATTGCTTGACTGATTTCAGTACCTTTAAAGTCCGAAGTATCCTTGAAAAGGTATTTGCTTTTCTAGTGGTAAATTTTTATCTTAACTCTGAAATGTTTAAAGAATGTTCACAACAGGGAAAGAAACAAAACTGAAAGAAAGGTATAATTAAAATTGTCTTAACTAAGCAGGAAAAGCCGGAGCGGAATTGGAATGAGCTTGTTATCGCCGAATTCAGGGAAAACGATAATATGTATATTAGGAAATATATTCTGGTTGTAATTTTCCTTTCTTATGTGGGTAACAATGACGAATCTTACCATGAATTAGTATGTTTGATGAATTTTTATATACGTTTTCCAACTTGTCATTTATGATACTTACAATTATAATTCTTTGGCATAAGCCAGTACGAGCTCAGATATATCGCTAAGTTTAAATGACCATTCATTTGTTTCAAAATTTCCAGAAGAACTTGTGAATACCGGGATGAATGGGTAGGATGCTGAAAAAGAAACGCGGTTTCTCTTGTGGCCTCCAGTAGTTAATTCCGGTGTACAAGCAAGGATTATATAGGAATGCATTAGGTCTTCATACCAGTAACTTGTACTACTATGGTATTCCAAGGCATTTGTTGATCTCAGGTTGACAACAAATCTATGAAAAAGCAGTATGACGTATCCAAGAATATTAGTTAGAAAATTACGACCAGCCTCTAGATAACACTTTCCGTTTTCGTGGTAAATTATTGTATACTTTACAGGGGAAGGACCAGTGTCAAAGCAAACGACGGCAAGTGGCATCATATTTGCCTGGCGTGGAAGTCTCCAGATGGAATATTGAACTTCTACTTTGACCAACGACAACTTCAAGGGCGAGGATTTTCTGCAGGTGAAAAAATTCCAGGTAATGACGATGACATACAATACTACGTTCGGTCCGTCCGTCATAACCTCGAGCGTAATAAGTTCCCGTCCGGCCCTCCCACTCAGTCAATACGTGCGTGGTAATAAGACATCCTGGAATGTGTCCAAAACCTTGACTAAGCCCTGCATCTAGCACAAGAAAATATGCAGAGAAAAGGAAAAGTAGACTGAAAGGATCATTGAAAAGAAGCCCTTTACTTTAAAAAATGCAAGAAAAGGTAAACCTGCACTATACCTATATTCTTTTTAACAGGTAAAGGTGAATTTGTGGTTGGACTAACAAAAGATCAAGCAAAATTAGACTCAAAAGCCGGCGAATTCATTGGTATTATCAGCCACGTTAACATATTCCACACATTTCTCGATAACCACGTGATAACCTGGATGTCGCACGGCTGTGGCGAGGATTTGATGAATACCATTGTTCCCTGGTCCCAGTTTACGTATGGTTTCATTGGAGACGTTAACATTCAAAGACCAATGACGTGTAGGGACAATGAGGGTTGGTGCATAAAGCTCTTTTGAAATAATAGCGACAAAAGTAGCCCCAATGAGACTCTCTGTGTGGAAATTTAGGTTTCATAGTGTACTAAGCGAACCACAGGTTCGACATAACCAGGACTTGCCATTAATTTTGATCTCTGTCAGCAATGTTTATCGAGTACCCTTTATTGAAATTTTTCATTGATTCGTTGTTAGTTTAGCTCATGGATTTTTATCCCATGGCCATCAAAGCGAGGGAAGCTGTGCACTAAAATAACCAACGACAAATCTTATTTTAATTCTCAGGTCTCCGCATCATTGTGTTAGCAAACCGAACATCTCCATCTCCACAAGTATCCGTGTTTGAAAGTCCGCTTTATGAGCGATCTTATGATGCACACAGCATCTGTGTATTATTTAGGTATATCATACATGGTCCTGGAATACGTTTCCTTCGTTTTTATCAACAAATGGACCTTGCAAACCATACGAGGCGGTTAATATGGGCGGCAAACGAGTCTAACAACACGGAAGGAATATGGAAGTATGGCAGAGTAACCCTGCCAAGTATAACTAAATACAGAGTGAGTAAGCTAAGTTATGAGAACGACATCATAACCGATTCCTTCTTTAACTCTTAATTTTTTGTTGAGTTTACAATGGAAGTAAATTATCGGATAGCGCTGGGCGCTAGACTGATCAGAAAAATTTCGTCTATCTTCTCTTTAGCGTGAAAAAGGATGAGATATAAATGCGTACGCGCTTGTCTTCCAGCCCCCGGGTGATCATTGTCTTGCTCCTGTCTTTCTTAGATTCTTTTGAACAATAAAGTTTAATAAGGGAAATCAATCGATAATGGCTTCTGCTGTCCAGAGCAGATTTGTGCCACAAAATACGATTTAGTGCCAACAAGAGACTATATGTACTTTTTGTGCCCCAAGAGATGTAATATTCTCTTGGTGCCAACAGCTAATTGTTAAAAACATTGAAGAAGTTTCAACTTTCAATTTTCAGTTAATGTAACATATTTTATTGTGCTGATCACGTTGCCGATGAAGCAAAACATTCAGCTGTCTCAACAATGTGCTTCAAATAAGTATGTGTACATAAAATGTTTTCTGCAGCTGCCATCTTCTTTTGAAATACTGTAGTTTTGCCCTCATAATAAATATTATTCAGATGGCGAACGGTTACATTTGCAGGTTTCTTTTGAAGCGGATTTGGGCAGGTACCCTGGTTTTATTGGTGTAAGGGGTTTACAAGTACTGCCTGGATATTGCCATCCAGTCCCACTTAGGGCAACGCAAGGTACATGTTCACATGATGTTGTACTTTTCTTTTTTTTCTGTTGGTTTTTTTTGTTTTCTCTAGCACTAAGTGCCAGCTATTTAATATATGTTTCATGTTGACTAATATATCTTCTCTTGGTGTAGTTATTTCTGTATTTCATACAGTGTTAGTTTAAAAGGCATATTAAAAGTTGTGAGTCCCTTCGAGGTTAGCACCGCCGCCTTTAATTGCTTTAAATGGTCAACATATTTTTTCCTTGTTGTCTTTTAGGGTGCAATGGAAACATGACCAATTCATCAGGCTTTATCTTCTCTCCACACTTCCCCGGTTATTATCCGCCTCTAACTCTCTGTCGCTGGACTATAAAGGTTGCTCCGGGAAAAAATATAAAGCTACGATTCTTGGAGTTTCAGTTAGAAGATCATCCATCTTGTTATAGTGACTACATTGAGGTTTATGATGGATACGAAACTAAAACAAAAAAACTTCTCGGGAGATATTGTGGCCTGCGATTTCCAGACTTTCTTGAATCATCGACGAATTTTATGTTAATTAAGTTTGTAAGCAACGACAAAGTTACAAGATCTGGTTTCAAGATGCACTACACATCAGAAGAAGGTAAAGGACTACTAAGTTCAAGCGCACTTTACAAGACCTTCCCTTAACACAAATAAATCACTGTTTGACGGTTTTACAGACAGGCTGATTGGCTAATGTTGTGATGGATGGAAATGATGAAGATAACGATTACGACAAGAATAACTTTCACAATAGCTATAGTTATAGTTATAGTTTTTTGTTTTTAAGTTCTCATAGCAAAATTGAGCTCAATAAAGTAAATAGAGTCGAATGGCACTTAACAGTAGTTTGTTTTCCTCCCATAGCTCTCCTTGGGAATTCCAATTGCGTCAGTTTTGAAGGTAACATGGAATCTAAAGTGTTGATTTGAACCAGTGGAGCTCTAAGGTCTTCTCGATCCAGTCAAACTTGGACCCCACTTTTAGTCGTGATGTTACCCGGAGAGACCTGCTGTAAATGAGTTCTCTCGCCCAATCCTTCCCAAATTTACTGATGCTGTACTGAAAAGGACAGACAAGTTTATCTAAAGTGTTTTATGCACTGACTTTTTACTCTCGATTGAATAGTCTGTCTTCTGTCTTCTTATTCTTCTAAAGCAGCTTTATTTCTCTCACAAGGTTGCCCTTCAAGCTGTGAGTGTAATATCATCTCATCTAAGCGTCATGATATGGTGATCACAGTTAAAAAGGGAAGAGAGTTGAAGGCCATACCAGAAAATATGCCTTCTAATACAGCTGTAATGTAAGATATGAAGCGCTTCGTAAGCGGTTTGGTGCTTTACAAAGTTTAAAATGAAAATGAAGGTTTCAGATATCTAAGATGAAGGAAATGTTAGAGCTGTTTAACGTATAAAAATCTATTTGCGCTTATAGAAGAAGATTGGAGATAAACCCTTTTTTCCTTTCAATTTCTAAACATTTTATAAGTACCCATTGATATCGTGATAAGAGTACTGGTTATTCATTGTGGTGAAGTACAATGATGATAAAACAATATTGTTTTCTCTCCTTGTCTTCACTCCCCTTGATGATCAAAGCGTTTTGACTGCATACTTTTGGTAATATTTGTTTGTAACTTGATTCTAAAATATCACTTCTTTCATGGCAGATCGTTCCAGAACAATAGGATTTCTTACCTACGCACGAATCAATTTTCTGGCCTCTTGATGTTGACTTACTTGTAAGTATACTCTAAGTAAATGCTGATATTGTAAATGCGACTTGATTATTTATTTTTGTCCAGTCCAAATGATTTAACAAATAAAGAGGCCTTAACTGTGGTCTGTACAACTGTAAGCAAGCGTGAAGCGACTAGAGCACGAAAGAAGAGTAAGGAAAAACACCACACGTAGTCGAGTGTTTCTCCCCACTTTTTGCAGAGCGATCCGCATGATCGCAGTCGCTCAGATACCTGCATGATTAGTATGAATTTTTACAGTTATGCCAGTCTGGCTATATTTTTCATAATTCCTGTTTTGCTCTGATTTGCTTTTTAACACTATATTCTATACGAGCGTTAGCTGTGTTTGATTTTTATTACCATACGAAAGTTTGAAATCTAACTGAGCGTGAATACCTTCAAATCTCGGACTGCCCATTTCGTTTTCCCCTTGAGGATTTTCGTCTCTGTTCGCGTTATAATAACGTAAAATACAGCTCTTGGCATGTTTAAAAATCTTTGATTGGCTCTTCTGTTGCTACTTGCCGGCTCGCTTGTTCCGAAATTTCACTTTCAATTAACGAAAAAAGCTAAAGAGAAGTCTCGGAAAAGGTCAGACATAGTACAGTTTGGCAGATGGCGTGACAGCTTTAGCTAAGCTCTATGCTTTGAACTCTGATAGAGCACGCTCTTTTAACCAGTGACAGCGCGCATTATATCTGAACTTTATTGTAAAGGTCTGTAGAGTGGTAGTTAGAGTCGCAAAAATAGATGTGTTCCTGTACAACAAGTAACCTAAATATTGACTGACATGCGGGTGATATTCAGGGCCGGGGGCAAATAAATTTCATCACTTCTTTGATGAAAAGTGAAGAGCACGAAAATAGATATACGTTTGACCAGAATCCCTAGTTTGCCTTTCAGCTAAAGAAAAACATTTCAAAGGAGGCTCTGAAGGACGCTCTTCATCAAAAGATCTTATCTTGGATGATGTGAAGTTTAAATAGCTGTTCAAAATATTATAAATGGTGATAATTTAAGACAAACGAAATCAAAATATGTACCGTTTTTTGTTGCTTCTTCCAGGGACTTGAGTCAAAACCGTCTCTTCAGAATCGAGAAACGAGCGTTTGAACATGCTGTTTCATTGCGTTCTTTGTAAGTGTATGGTTTGAATCGAAATCTTCCCATCTATTTGAACTCAGAGAAATCATAAATATCTTGTTTATCTCATTTCCTAGGTTCGTACCGTATGTTATGGAACCTCGTTTTTTTCAGCTCGGATTTAAATCCGAGCTGAAAAAACTCGGTCCGTAACTAACAGTACGGAACTCGAAGTAGGTAAGTGAGAAGTATGTATTACTACCAGCAGAAACATACGTGCAAGTTCTTACACTGGTTTTGTTTTGGCTTTCATCAAATGAGGACACTACTTTTTTTTTAGGCTGGTCATGACCAAATCATACTTTAAATTGCTCCTTTTCTGACATGTACATTTGCGAAGCTAGAAAGCTGTAGTAATTACTTCTTGTTTTTAAAGAATATTAAAAAAATAATCATATCATTATTTTCTAGGAAACTTCAAGGAAATTTCATGAGGACTTTACCAGGTGGAATTTTCCATAATGCGTCAAATCTTCATACTTTGTACGTATGATAAGTGAAAAAAAAATCATAATTCACTGATGTGATTTGGTTAGTAAAAGTAATAAACAGGTGACCAAACAGATAAATGAAACAAAACTGATCCGCTGCCTTTGTCCCCTCTTTGTTGTTCTAATCTAGGGACTGTAGTTTAAACTTGATAGAGGAAATATCATCAACAACACTGGCTTCAATGGCAGCTTTGACTACATTGTAAGTAGATTTTTAAGGCAGGATTGCCATAAACAGTATATAGATTCAGTGAAGCTTTAACTCGAAGGGTCTGTTTGCTAATTTGCGGGGCCCTCATCTTCAATTAGAACTGCCCTCAGGATTTTGAAAAGTGTATTTATAACAATTTACGGTCAAGTTGTTATTTGTAAAGGAGAAGTGTTGCAATGAATATCATCGATTACACGACTCAAAAATAGTGCACCTTGAATAAGATGACTACAAATTTTTCATGTTTTTTTTCATAGGAGCTTCAGAGAAAACCGGATAAATTCTATTGATATGGATGCTTTTAAGGGAGCCCGGAAGCTACAATACTTGTAAGTTCTCCCGTAAACTTTTTAGATGCTTTTATGACTTGGTTATTATTTTGTTTATTTGATTTGGTTTTGAGTTTTGGTTTTTTTAAATTTTTTACTTTTTCTCAAAACTCCATCTTGATCTGGCAATATCTTGGCAGGTATCTTCAAAACAATTTGCTGGTAGAGCTGAGTGATAATACATTCCTGGGCTTAACAAGACTCAAAGTGCTGTAAGTGAAATGAGCTGCTCTGCAAATTTGCTTTTGTTGATTTTCTTGTTTATGCTATTGCTTTTCCTGTTTTTTTATTTTGTTCGTTTGTTATAATTAGTATTATTTTTAATATCGTAACCATTATTATATGAACTATTAATAATTTTATTATTATTCAGAAATAAGCATACATTAAGTAAAAAATGGCATTTGTCACAAAATATATTTTAGTTCAGCTATTTAGTTGTTCCGATTATAAATGCTATCTAACAAATAAAACTACTGAAAGTATGCATCTAGCACCAACAGTTATTATCAGTGAAAACAATTGTGTACCCGATTATTTTTTTCTCAGGTCTCTGCGTTACAACAAGATAAAAAGATTGACTTCCAAGACATTTGCTGGGCTTACTTCATTGGAGAAATTGTATGAATCACTTCGTTGTCCGGAAGGGGAATGTTTGGATTTTAATTCAAAAGGCATACATAATGATGATAAAACATTTCTTAAATCACAATGATGAAGTCATTATTTAAATCCAGGTTCATAGTAAATTTGTACGGAGATTAGGCATCTTCATTTTACCGTCCTTTTGAATATTTCATTCATTTTTCAATGTTATATTACACACATATATCTTTGTTTCAGAGATTTACGGAACAATTCTATCAGTTTGAGAGACTTTTCACCTGGTGCCTTCGATGAACTCCGCAGTCTTAAGGAAATGTGAGTCCTTGTTAGCTGGACTAATATAAATAAATTGAATAAAAGTAAAGAAATGATCTTCGCATTTGAGCTGCAATTAAAGTAATCGCAGAAACAAAGCCTGAAAAAAATTCAGGCTTCGACGGAATTCAAACTTGTGATTTGCGTATAATAGTTTGGCACCAGTAGCAACTGAGCTACGTGGTCTGAATTTTTTTAGTCATACAGGCTAGGTTTCTTTCAGACTTTAAATCTTAGGAAGTGTCTGGTTACAATCGTTTTAAAACCTACATAACACTATTGCTAAAAGTCAAACCATACCCACTATAATCCAATAACTGAAAAAAAAGTAATCTCGATTATCTGAGAAAAATTTTGTTATTGATTCTAAATGCAAACAACTCAAAAATTGCCTCTCAAACGGTTGACTGGGTGTTATTATCATTACTTTTTCAGCTTCCTTGACGAGTTCATCCTTTGTTGTTACGCCGAAAAAGCAGCCCCTGGTGTCGGATGCATTTCGCCGAAAGATGAATTTTCTAGCTGTTCTGATCTGATGAAAAACAAAGCGGTCCAAGTGTGCATTTGGATTTTGGGGCTGACCGCTCTTCTTGGAAATCTCTTCGTCATTTTAATGCGAGTAATCGTGAAGGAAGATAACAAAATACACTCATTTCTTTTAACGAACCTTGCAATTTCAGATCTTCTAATGGGCATCTATCTGCTTATTATTGCTGTAAAAGACGTACAATGGCAAGGGGAATACTTTAAGCATGACATCAATTGGAGGTCAGGAGTAACGTGTGCATTGACTGGAGTGCTGTCTATGGTATCAAGTGAAGTGTCCGTCCTAATGTTAACACTCATTACCACTGATAGACTAATCTGTATCGTTTTTCCTTTCAAAATGAGACGCATGAATCGTGGGAATGCTTATATTATTGTGGCGGTTATCTGGATCTTCGGAACTCTGTTATCTGTGATTCCAATGTTTGGGTTGGATTATTTCTATGACGATAAACGATACGTAGGATTTTATGGAAAGTCTGCAGTTTGTCTTCCTCTCCAACTGTCGTCAGATCGTCAAGCTGGGTGGGAATATGCTGTGGGGATCTTTATTGCTTTAAATTTTGCATCATTTGTTTACATCCTCACTGCATATATAGTCATGTTCTTCTCTGTCAGAAATGTCGCTAAGAATATCAGGTCAACGCACATTAGCAGAGAATCGCAAATGGCGAGAAGAATGGCTTTTATCATTCTGACTGATTTCCTCTGTTGGATGCCTGTAATTGTCATTGGGATGTTGTCACTGATCGGAAAATTTCATGATCCTGAAAAGCAAGCTTACGTTTGGATTGCCGTGTTTGTCCTCCCTGTAAACTCGTCCATAAACCCTATACTATACACATTTTCCACTCCTTCGGTGAAGAGGAAGGTTACAGAACAGAAGGACAGGTTTAGAAGTTATTTTCAAAGAAGTTCACATCAGTGGGAAGGATCTCCAGGTAAATCTCATTTTATCAATGCTTTTTTTTCATACAAATTAGATACATGTTAGAAATTAGTTAAGGTATCCGGCTGTCTATTAAACACACTTGGTGTTTTTGTCTTCTGATTGGTCAGTGTCGTCAATTATCGGAAGGGAGAGTTATAGTGTTTGTTGTAACTGGATAAAAGGTTACACATTTCTTAAATAATGCGGCACGTACTGCTGCAGTTAAATAGCCAGAATACGTTAAATCTGCAATGTAAACAATATAATCCAACTTATCTCTTATGTAAAGTGTAACTACAAAAAGAAAAGTTTAGCATAAAAATACCCAATATTTTTAGTCCATAGAATAACTAGGCAGATGAGTTCAGTTATCATAATTCTAACATGAGACAAAACCTTCCGTTAGGGTCACGAGGTACTTCACTCAGCTCATTAGTTAGTGGAAACACGACCTTCCCAAGTGAGTCACAAAAAACGACTTTGTCAACCTTCAGCCTCTCCCCAATTCCAAGCACCTCCTCTCGTCCATTGGAAGAGATACCAGAATGCGAGGAACCTGAAACCGATTTAAACCTGATTGAAACACCAAGTGTCTTTTCGGATGAGACTTCACATTCGGTGGTAAGGCTGATAAGAATTGCCCGTTTTTGGTCATAAATGTATATTAAACTCATCTCCATTGAAATACCAATGTTTTCGGAGTGGATGATCATTATCGATTATTGTTTTAGAAATACGTATATTCATATTGATATTGGAAATATATTTAAATCAATGTCATGATTTCTAATGCTCGTCCGAAACGGGCCCCCCGGACCCCTCCCCTAGATTCGCCACTGAAACCAATGAAGCCAAAGCCTCCTCTCATCCACCTCAGGAGAAATCCGCTCGACTCAATTCAAAAACAGTAAAAAGAAATTTTGCACGGACTCAACCTTTTATAGATAAAAATAATTACAAGGAAGTCATGTAAAGGAATATCTATCCGCTATTCATCCAGAAACGTGATCATGATATACTGCAGTTCTACTTTTTTATCAATTCTTTCAGGGTTTTGTTGTGGCGTGGTCTGGAAAGAAAAAAGACGTTTCTTTGCGTTTGGTTAAGCATTTTTCAAAAGCTAAGGAGGAATCTTGGAAAAAGGAGACAGAAATAGCCAAGGAACTCAATGCAGATGGCGAAGGGCATCCAAACATCATCAAATATTGCTGGAAAGCTCGAAGTAGGAAGACAAGCGCAATTTTTCCGATATAAGGCGGTTTCCGTTATATCTAGTTTAGATTTTATGAAGGACAAATAGGCTGAAAATAGGTTACATATGGCTACGCATGTTTAAGGCCAACGCTATTCACATTATGATGAGGTTGGCTTCCTATGCAGTGAGACATTTGACAATTTTTAAAGGGAAACGCTTGATTGCAATGATCGTCCCTCGCAGTTACATAGGATCACCAAGGCTTTAAAATGATTTTTCTTCTAATTGATTATTTCTTACCAAGTGAATTTTGACAATACATAACTGGTTACTGATTTCAGAATTTTCCGAATCTTTTTTCTTTTAGCTGAACAATGCAAGCTACATCACAAGCGAGGAAAATTTCTTCGATTAAAGAAAAGTTATTTGTAAGCTATTTAAAGAGTGAAGGAACCCGTATTTATCTCCCAGCTTTTTTTTTTTATGAGAAATGTCCTTACGGTAGCAATTCATTCTTTTTTCTTCCCCAGAATGACTACTCTATTTTGTTAACATAAGATTTCAAATGTGGAAAATTTAAACGTAAAAGTAAACCTTGCAAAGTATATTCTCTACGAATTATCGCTGAAATTTCGGTATCAATCCAAAATGTGAAAGAAAATCTTATCCCCAGTTCAGGACACTGTCACTGAGTTAAGAGCTCCTTCAGTCAATACAGTTACAATATTCCTAATACTTATCTATGTTATTGATCTCAATCACAGTTTGCTTTGCTATGACTTTACTTCGAGTAAGACGTTGGCTGAGTTCTTGAATGACAACCGAGTTACTCTAAACCTGGACCTAGTCTTAGTTGTGGCCATTGATTTAATTTATGCCATCGAATACTTGGAACGAAAGGGTGTTATTCATAACGAAATAACAACTTCCCACGTGCTGATAGGAAGAGGACTAAGGGTAAGATAGATTATGAACTAACTACGATTCATGTGATGAATTTTCGATGTTACGCACTCTCTGATTGGCTGATCGAAACACCAGGGTTTATCACATCACAGCTGCATGCATGGTAAGCTACGAATTTAACCCGGATAATGAAATGTCCTTTCATGCGTCAAAATAAGGGCGATAAGAGGTATAATTACAAATATCATTAAGGAAACAGACCACATGTGTCAGTGAACTAAAAGAATCACACCCAATCCAACTGTCTGTATTTATCTTTACGAGCTCTATCCAGGTAAATAATGTTCACTAACGCTTGTATGGTTAGTAGTGACTGCCATTGGTTCTAGTCGTCTCAATTAAAAGGGTAACCTGGCGAGTAAAGTGGAAGATTCCCTTTCCTGCACTTGAAAGAGAACTACAACAAGTCGTTCAGCCTAACTAGTCAATTTTTTTTCCAAGTTCAGTCAGTTCCCGTTTTTAATAGTTTTAAGGGTTTATTAACTTTCACCACCGCGAGATTTAACACCAGAATATTCCATAATCAATGAATGTAATCCGCAAGTTCGATAATTTTCACGCAGATGCCCCCGATAGCTGCTATTCTTGGAGGATTTGGTTCGGCCCAGTTGATATCTCGAGACTTTCCTGAATCTACAAAAACTGAGCATGAAAGGAAGGATATGTTAGGGAAAAACATCCTTCAATTTGGTTTCTTGTTGAATGATTTGATTAAGAGCTGCAACGAAGATGAAGAGGTGGCACAAGTAGGTTGAACATTCAAACTTATTGATGTAAAACATTCAAGGTATTTTTTATTTCGGGCTGAACAGTTCTTTGTAGCTACGAGTGTGTCGTTGATTATCCGGCAAGGTATACTTAACCAACGACATACTCTTTAGTTATGTGTATTATCACACAAAATTCGCATGGATTTTCCTTCGTGATCCACAGGTTTACAATAGTCTCAATTGCATTTATCAACTCGAAGCATTGCGTTTAAGCTTTAAGAACGGTAAAGTTTACCACAAATGGCAACAAGGAAGAAATAAATATCACTTAACTATTAAGAATTTTTAGAAGTATGAAACATTTTTTCATAGCTCAATTACACTTTAAAAAATTAGCACCTAACATTGTTTCCGAATACCATAACAATTCTACATATCTTGCATGACACGCCCTATGCTACAAAAAAACTCTGAAGGTGAAGCTTTAACCTTTCCTAACATCAGTATGCATATTCTCCATACTACTCCCAAGACATTTCCAAGGGGTCTGACAGGGAGAATGTGTTCAACAATCAAGAGCTTCTTTAGTTAGTGATCATTCCCTTTATTCTCATGACCTTAATGTTTGATTCAGGGGTGATATTGTAAGGAGAAATTAGATGCTGGTCACTTTTAGGGATTAAGGGGTTAACATCCTTCTTCACGATATGTAATTATGGGACCTAGGAGGGATGATGAGTCTATCATTAAGTTTGACGGTCTGTGGGTAAGAAAACAAAATACACTTCTCTTTTTCACTTTTCTTTCTCACTTTTCTTTTTTCTTTTCCTATTGTAGCTTCGAGAAATGATACAATTGTGCTTTGAACAAGACCCGGATGTTCGACCAAAAGCTTTGCAACTTCGAGGCCTTCTGGAAGAGCTGTGGTGTCGCAATGATATCTGGGATACAAATTTGTAGTTATTAGCGAGGCAGCGGTTTTTTTTTTCTTTTAACTTCGTCCTGTAAGAGGCGCATGCTCGGAGACTCATTTACGCCCAAAATGCATTGCGTAGCCCCTGGCTCATCGAAATGATTGTCCGGTGTTGAGAAATACTTTCAGTTCCCATTTAATCTTTCATGGGATTTTAATTTTTTTTTGGCTATCGTGAATGGAGTTCATTTTCAATGATATCATTTTTTTTTCGTTGGGGCTCATTACTCTTTGCCAGACTTATTTTGTTGCGTGCGTGATTTGGGTGTGCGTTTTAGTTGCTCACATAGCACGAGTTTCATTCCCCTCCACCAGTGTAAAAAACGGATTTAAAAAGTCGAATTTACTTTAACTGTTCCATACCTTTGGTCAGAGGAAACATAAAAGAGTGTTATGGGTGCTTCTGTTACCAGAGGGCTTTAAAACAGTCTCAAACCTTAGTAACAAATCAAGCGTATATTGGGCAAAGGTTTTTTTAAATGTATATTTACATCATGATATCATCGTAGTGACATATTTAACAAAAGTTAAGGGCAAGAAAAAAAATGAAAAAACTAAAAGAAGAAAAAAGAAAAACCGATTGAGAATGGGCGAACCAGCCTTTTGATAACTACGAGGCCTCATAAATATGAGGCCTTATAATCCTTCAAACGTTTTGCTACCGTGCGATCGGTCTGAACGCGACAACTCAACAGATAATTTTCAGTTAAAACTAGGAAGCATCCTGTATTTCCACTTTTTAAATCTTGCAACAAATGCAATGAAGGGCTTCTTTGAAATGATTCAATTTAGGGTAGTGTTTTAATATTGTTACATACAGAAGAAGATAGAAGTCTCGGTTCAAATTACAGTATTCAAGTCTCTTTGAAAAGTCAACGCCAGGCTTTTTGGAAGCGTTTCGTTTCGCACGCTGCGAGAAAATGTTTGAAGGATAGCCAACTCAGTAGCTTCCATTTGGAGCGAGTAGCCCTTGCATTTGTCCTAGGACATTATTTTTCCTCAAAACCTACAGTTTCCTTTGAGCTTTGCTAATTAACGGAGAATGTTCGCTTCTCGGCACTAGTAACGTCCGCGGACCGATATGAGGGTCAAAACGGCTAACGGTTAAAATTTTGGCTTTTTTATGACTAACGGTTAGTTTCTCTCCGTTGAAATTAAAATAAAAACTTTTAACTGTTGACATTTTTTACGACAAACGGTTAAAAGCTGTTAATTAACAGATAAATTAAATTAAATTAGGGTTAACCCTATTGAGACCCTCATGATCAGATATTAAGCCAAATGGAGGCTCTTGTTTATACTTACTGTCATTAGCACGGTACTAGCTCTTGCTACAGAACAGAAAGTTTCCTTTCGTGTCTCGTGATTCACATGCCCCTTTTGACGATCCTATTTATGCTGCGTTGCAATATCGATAAGGAAACCATAAGAACTTCCGTCATACAGTCAATATGCTCATTGATAATACTGCCATGAACTTAAGTTTGGTACATGAAAGACAAAAAAGCGTTTATTCAGCTGTGGTTCAAACAAGATTTTTCTCCTATTCCTCTAAATGCGAGACAATGTAAATGAATAACTGACTAAATGCATAAATAGATATGTAAATAAAAGAATGAATACCTTGATAAGAAAACCATAAGAACTTCCGTCATGCAATCAATGGCTCATAAAAAATACTGCCATGATTTCGAACTTAGGTTTGGTACATGAAAGACAAAAAAGTATTTACTCAGCCGTGGTTCAAACAAGGTTTCTCTCTCATTCCTCTGAATGCGAAAGAATCTACACAAATAACTGACTAAATGCATCAATAGATATGTAAATAATTAGTATCTGTACAATAATAGCCGTGATCTCATGAAGGCGTGTTCTCGATACCGTAGGATTACACAGAATGAATTAACTCAATAATAAATAAAGGCAACACCAAATTTTAATGTCCCATATGTTATGTGTAGAGTGTGAGCAAAAATTGACGAAATAAGTTTTCGTTTTTTATTTTAAGCATGTTTTAGGGAAATCGGTCTTTAAACTTTATGACCTGTAGCGCGCGGTCACTTTTACAACCGCTGTTTTGTCGATGTTTTGACTTCAAACACAATGAACTCTTTGGGAAAATCCAGTCGCTAAACATTTTGCAACCTTCCCTGATAACACTGCAAACGAATGACAAATAGAGTGACGGTCCGATCAGCCCCTCTTTGCCTAAATGGTTACGAAGAAACAGATGTTACGCAATAGATTGACAGATTACAAGTGGCATGCAGCTGGCACACAGTTAAAAAAAATGACACCATCATTGACTGACGGACTGAAGAAGAGGAAGATAATAAGTCAGCACAGTCATGTCAACTGCGCGAAATCAGTGTCAAATTATATATATTTTGAGTCAGCAGTTTTGTATTGACGTCGACAAAACGTTTGCGTATGCAGTGAAGGATTGTTATGATATTTGAAGGATTGTTGTTTTTTTTCTTCTTATTCATTAGCCTTGTTTATAGACATTACCTTTACACCTGTGCTCAGCGATTTAATTTTTTAACGTGATTTTCACTCCGTTTGTTGGATTTTGATTTATATTTTATACCAATCTCTGCTAAGCCACATTGCCTGACTCTTTAACCGGTGAAGATCACATACTTGACCGTGTAAAATTCTATTAACGAATCATTTGTAGCCCTAGATCATCTAAAGAATTATTTAAATCTAATATTTCTAAGTTCACTTATAGAGGTCACTCAAACTGCACTATACAGTGTGAATTTTGTTTCCGTTTCACTCCTGTTCTGAGCCTGCTGAGAGGATAGTGGAATTATTTTTTTTTGCTAGGAATTAAAATTATGTAAAGTAGCCCTCCTTCCAGCGAATTATTTCTTTGGCCAGTATAAAATAATGGATATCTCTATTAGCATCTGTAGATGCTTAAAATAGCTACAAATACTGTGTTGAACGCAAATTTCAAGTATCCGTAGTTGCATCACATGATCAAGTGCTCATGTGATTCAACTAAGGATACTTGAAATCCGAGAACAATGTAGTATTAATTAGCATTTGTAATGTTCTATTCATAGATTGCATTGAGTAAGGCTATATAGCTAATTATAGAGTTGCTGGTTATATGGTTGCAAACCGTTTGGTCATGATTAAGCTCGGATGCCTAAAAGAAATGTATCTTTCAGTGCTCGTGGTTTTATCAGTTCTAGTCTCAGCCAGAGCTGCTGTTCTCTCTTCTGAGTACGCTCACTATGCAGCTTTGGATCCGAAAGAGTTAATGAAGCTGTACTGGACGGTCGACTGGGATAAGGAAACCGTGTCTTTTGCTGTTGAGGCAGCAACTACAGGATGGGTAGGTTTTGGAATCTCGTCAGGGAATGGCAAGATGGTGGGTAGCGACATGGTTATTGGATGGGTAAAGGACTCCAAAGGCTACTTGACGGTAGGTCAATTGTAAGACTATTGGTCATCGTGCATTCTCGGTTGACATTCCACAGATACTCCGTACGGATTTTGACACTCTCGCGCTGCTCGGAATGTTAGGGATGCTAGGATAATATCTTAACATTTCTAAAAAGTACTTACAGCTGAGGCCGCTTGCGTCCCCTCATCTAATTTTGTTGTCGTTGTTATGATTAGAAAAAGCATCAATTCACGTTCATTTTGTTGCACAAGATCGTCGGAATTAGCCGCCTGTCACTATATCATCGAATCATTGTTTACAAAATAATGAATAGTGAAAAACGATGTAATGAATAACGAAGCCTCGACGGTCCTCCGTTCTGCGTTTTGTAGAAAGCATGCTGGATGAGGCTAGAGCACGAAAATTTCTTCTTCTGCTCAGTTGGTTTCGCCATATTTTCTTGTGACGTTGCAATTAATTCTCATTTTTTGGAGGGAAAGAGGGCAACAAGCATCCTTGACACTAGTCAGTGTATGACAGGGTTCACAATTCCCTCTAATGTACTGTCTTTTGAATCCATTTATCTACCGGCAGTAAAATGTGTCTCCACCAAATTTGTGGGGGAAATTTGTTATAAAGATTGAATAATGATACGAGTTCGTAACAAAGCTGCATGGTGATCTTTCTCGAGTATTCATTCATTAATTAGGCGTGCGTGATGATCACATTTTCATCACACCAGCCTTTGTTCAGAAACAAGAGATGATCTCATCTTGTTCACAAATAAGAGACATTATTCATATCGTTAGTACAAAAATAGACCCCTCATTTGAAAAGATTCGTTAATTACCTCATAAAACTGGAAAAAAACTGTTTCTATGATTAAGGTCGATGGATGAATAAGAGAATTTGCTATAATTAGTTTCGTTCAGCTCGTAACAGGTTTGTTTCACTGCGGTTAACGCTTTCAAGAGAGATTTTAAAACGGTTCATCATGTTAATCATGATGTTATATTTGTCTGAATGGCACAAGAAGGAATGCGGAAAACGGAATGACGTATACCAAGAAAATAAGTTGTTTGTCGCAGGTGTGCCGCTGGTGTGCCGCAAGGCACAAAACTGGGCCCCTGGCCTTTCATCTTAATGATAAATGACTTGAGAGTTAGTAACGTACGTATGTGGAAGTATGTGGACGACACCACTATAGCCGAAATCGCGCCTAAGGGAGGCCGAAGTAACATCCAGAGCGCCGTCGACGCCGTTTAGGACTGATCTCATGAGCAGAATATGCAACTCAGCGCGGATAAATGCAAGCAATCGACTATTTATTTTAAGGAGAACAAGCAATCATTCGATCATGTAGTAGTCGGTGGGAAGGAACTTTCTAAGGAGCAACGTGCTAAGATATTAGGAGTTACGATATCGAAAGATTTGAAATGGAACGGGCATGTATATGAGTCGATAAGAAAAGCAAAGAAGCGCTTGCATTTCTTAGTGCTCCTTTAGAGGGCTGGTGTTAGCTATCAGGACATTATGCAATTTATTGTGCAGTTCTAAGATCAGTATTAGAATACTGTACACCTATTTTCCACCATAGCCTTCCTGAATACCTTAGAAAACACCTCGAGCACGTCCAGAAAAGAACCATGTCAATAATCGCGCCTTATTAATCGTCTAAACAATCCCTAGAGAGCTATGGACTCTTTACTCTACGCCAAAGACGCGATGATCACTGCTAAAAGCTATTCAGTGGCATCGCCAATTCGAGCGATCACATTCTCGCCCACTAACTTCCCCCACGTCATCAAGGTTCATATAACTTGAGAAGCAAAAGAACTTTCAATCTGCCACGATTTCACACCAACCGTTTCAAAAACTCATTCATCCCGGCCATGTGCCAACGAGTAAATATATAGCAATGTTTCGTAAACTGCAGTGCTCTTAGCCAGTAATTTGTACAGAGCACTTTAGTTATATAGAAACCCCATTGTAAATAGCCCTAGTTTTAATTGTACTATATTTATATTGTAAATAGTTATTCCATTCAGCCTTCGGCTGCGACTTAGTTATTTCTATTAAATTATCTGTCCATATCTATCTCACGTCATATTGCTACTTAAAACCAAAAACCGAACTTACTTTAGACATACTTTACATGGACACGTGCCTTATTAGTACATAGATATGAAGGAAACTGTCCGAATCGACCTAGCTGGGCACGAAATGACTGAACTGTTTGAGGCTCTCTCTGAATGGGTTCGCGGCAAGTAAAGTTCGAGATGTAGCATTTTGGCGCCACCCATCACATCCTTAGAGAGCAGTCCATTGACTGTCCATAGATGTACGAGCCTATGACGGAGCTGCTGTAAGTGAATGATTTGCCCGGGCAGCCTTTGGAAAAGCGTGCGGATGATAAACCGAGGGGTTTGGGAAATTTACATCGATGTGTAACTCTAAAGAAATGTGTATCCAACTAAATAACAACTCTATTTACAGTAACGTTCCCTTCATGAACCTCACTATTTATACCCTGATTTGAAAGCAATCAATTGTTCCTTTACTATCACACATAAAATGAAAGTTTCGCTTTTGTATTCTTTTCAGGATCGTTTTGCTGATGCAGAGAGTCTACCGCCCTTGGACTGGCAAAAAAACTACGATTTGACTGGCTGGGAGGAAACAGACAGCAAAACCGTGTTGAAGTTTAAAAGAAAATTTGACACCTGTGATCCTAAAGATAGGAAGATTGAAGTATAAAAACCAACTGCTAAATATTTTATATTCCTTGCATTTTGTATATGTTTGACTTTATAAAATTATTTTTCTCCAATTGAGTATGAAAGAACGGAAACTTTAGTGCTTTTTCCTTGCCACTAAATGCGCTTTTATTCTTCTCGTTTCTTTCAGCAAGGTACCACAAAAGTCGTTTTTGCTTATCACACAGAAGACCCAAAGTCTGAGAATAACATAAAGAAACATACCTTTAGGGGTTCAAGGAGTATCCTTCTCCTTAATAATTTGGACAAGAAAACTGTGGATGAGAAAGGATGGAAGCAATTCGACGTTTTCAGTTATAATGTGGGTACATGCTTTTGATCATTATTACAAGATGCTAATCTTTTCTTCACGAAAACTTATTTCTGTCGCAAATCACAGTTAAAAATTCAATCCTTGATAACATCATATTACAGGTTACAATTCCCAAAAAGCACACAACATACTGGTGTTCTCTCGTCAAGATCCCGGAAATCAGAGGCAAACACCACATAACAAAGGTTTGTCATTACACTGATGTACTTTATTACTGGTCAATTGTTTTCAGTGTCTTTTCCATCGTCTTTAACTTGTTATTGTCTCTATTCAGTTTAATTTTATGCTGATCAAGTCACCCATGGGTCAGCTAGTTATTCATTTGGACCAAACTTAAGACGATTCAACGATAAAACCCTCCATTTGGCACTTGTGGGCTTTGTCGCCCTATACGTCTTTCTCATCTAGAGTTGACCTTTAGCTTCATTTTCACAAAATCGTCTCGTCGTTTTTCATACATATTGATAATGGTCAACTATAAATTAAACATTTTGTTTGTAACGCACATTTTTGTTACCCGATGTAGCCCCTCTCGCTTGTACTGAAATTTCTCTCATAGGACGTTTTAAACTTCCCCTGAGATAAGTCTGACCACCATAACTTTCATCATTTTTCAGTTTGAGCCAGTAATAAAAAAGGGAAACGAAGGCATCGTGCATCATCTTGTGGTCTACGCATGTCCAGGGAACTATAATGACAGCCATTATGGCTCTGGGTATGATTGTGAGGATCCAAATATGCCACTAAGAGAGTGTTTCGGCTCTCAAATTGTTGTAGCGGCATGGGGAGTTGGAGGCGAGGTAAGGAGTTTTGGTTGATGATACTCTAGATAAAGTTAATAATTTTATTAAAATTGAAATGCAAATCAAAACTATTTGTATTTACCTTAAAAACCCACCACGGCATAATTAGTGATCTCATTTACTATTTATTTTGTTAACGCCTAGGCATTTTACTATCCAACGCACACTGGTTACCCGATTGGAACGGAAGATTCACCAAATAATTATTATCTAGAACTACACTATGACAATCCAGAGAATATTGAAGGTCAGTGAATCTGTCCCTGCTGTTGATATTAAGCTGCTTTAAAACAGCTCTTTTGCTGTTATTGAGCTTCAAAAAAGTCTCTTGGGCTGTGTTCTCACATCTCAATCGTTACTTTGTTTAAAAGGACGAAAAGACAATTCGGGAGTTCGTTTTTACTACACTCCCCACCTCCGTGACTACGATGCTGGTACAATGACAGTCGGAGAAGCAGTTACCTCGTATATGGTGATCCCGCCACAACAAGAATCCTGGCTAACTAAAGGATATTGCCCCAAAGAGTGTTATCAGGTAACTTTGTCGCAGATATTTTGCTCTTTGAGATTTGGGAACTGTTTGTGTGCCGGCATTTCTCATCGAAAAAATATTGTTCAAACACCTGGAAATGTAATACATAAATGTGTTCCCACCTTTGCGATTTTTTCCCATTTCATCTACTTCCACCCTTTTTCAGAAAACCTTGGAATCGACAACACTTCCAGAAAAAGGGATAAAGGTCTTTGCTTCTTTCCCTCACACTCATCTACAGGGTTAGTCCATTATTGATGTCTACTTAAACTATTTCATATTCTTCCTATTTCCAAATACAAAATACATACAAGCTAGAAAGAACTCATTGTTGTCTCAGACAACATGCTGTGTAGTTGATAATGTGTAATCAGTCTATTGATTTTTTTATTGAGTGCAGATTCATAAAGTCATACTGCTATACTTTTCCATCAGGGCGTGCAACATGGACGAAACATGTCCGCAACGGAGTTGAATTACCTGAAATTGTCCGTGATGACAATTATGATTTTAATTTTCAGGTAAATGAATAAGTTAACGCTTCTTTATCTCCACTTTAAGTTTGCTTTGTTATTCATATACGTATAATCGATTCTGTGATGAACTTATAAACTGCTAGCGACGGGCATAAGTGGGCCTACATAGTTATTCTTGAAAACATTCTCGGAAAAAGAAACGGAAATTTTGACAATAGGGGAGAAAGTTTAAAATTTCGTCGAATGCAAGAACAGAAGCATGCACTGTTGGTTGTACAATTATCTGGAATGTTCACCCCTATGATGGTATCACATGTAGTCACTTTTAAAGAATTATTCCTTCATTCGTTTTTATCCCTTCAATCAGTTAAAAAATCGATCGGTTACTTGATCTAATTATCATAAAGACAAGTAAACTTTCCTTTCGCAGGATATACAAATTTTAAGGAAGGAGGTTCACGTAAAACCGGTGAGAGCCACTTAAAACATTTTACTTTTAAGAATCATATGGTTGAAAATCTTCTGATGCAAAGAAAAGGATTAACAAATGTTAAATACATTTGCTCAACTTTAAATGCCTTATCGACATTAAGACATGAAAATCAAACATTACCAAATATATTGACTTTTTTTTGTCTTTTAGGGAGACGATTTGATTCATTATTGCAAATATCAAACTATGAACCGCGATAAGCTCGTAATGGTAAGTTGACAGCAGGGGACCTTGGAAAGCCCTATATCTTCATCTGCCTGCCTGAGGATAATTTATGATTTGTTTTGAAGTTGTTGTACTTCAGGGAATCCCATAAATGTAGTACCTTTAGTAAGCTTGTACCTCTTTTGGTCTTCAAGGAAAGTTACGGGATTGAAGCTCCTCAGTTGGGTATCATATATTGACTATCAATCATTGCGCTATAAACTTGGAGTTTCCACGTTGCGAAAGATCTGTTGTTATTTTGTTCATTTATTTAATTACTTCGTTTTATGCTTCATATATTTAGGGTGGAATAGCAACCTCTCAAGAGATGTGCCTAAACTTCTTATTTTACTATCCAAAAGTGTCGAATGCCACGTTAAACTGCATCAGTCTTCAAAGAGACCCAGTACAAGACTTCATCAGAAGTAACATGTAAGTACTGTTGATATTCCTAACCGGCAGCGGACTTTTCTCGGAATTGAAGTTTTAAGGATGGCGCCTGGAAATTTTGGATGAATATTTCTTTTAGCGACTGTTCATTTATTCGATCACTATTTGCTTATTACTGATGGCAGCGCATCCCTCAACGTGACGTCTGAGTGGTCTAATCCTCTTGTTGGTGCGAATGTTACTTGGACGAAAGAAATGGCGACAGACTTGCAGAGGAGATACAACGAAGCTGAAACATTTCTTGTACCTTGTCTTTGGGTAAGTAAACCCTCCTACTCGGGTATGTCATAAATCATTTCCTTAAATTTTGGTATATCATCAAAAAGGCAAAAAAGTGGAGTTAAGAAAGACAGCCTGAAACCGACACTGATGTTTTTTCCGTTTTGATAATTACAAAGTACGTTTTTTCAACAGAAAAGTGTCGCATGATTTTCGGATTTTTCGAGTCGTTTATCTATATGCTAATCAATTTAATTTCGTATTTGACAGGGAAAAATACCCGGCAACAGGTTGTCAGTGCCAAAGATAACCCGTTCTCTACCACCAAAAGAGTCAAAGTGTGATCAACCAGCTGCTGCTGCCTCTGCCATGGTGACTGCCTCGTGTTCTTTGTTTCTTTCTTTGCTGATGGTGTATTTGATGTTGCTGTAAGATTTGACGTGGAGCTTTTTTCTTTTTTTACGCATGATAAAAGAAACCGTATTTTAAGATAAACATATAGCAAATTAATAAACAGTTTGGTAGTTCTGATGACTTTGCACATGTGTTCATGATTCCCTTTTATTGTGTTGCGATAAATCTGAAGGACGGAGATCCATCGGGAAGACTATCTGTTTTTTTTAAAATATGATTAGATGAATCAATTTTGACGGTCTCCTCGTTTTTAGATCAACTTGTAACATGAGAGATAAATGGTGAAACAGTGTGTGAAAATTAATGATGATAAATAAAGCACTGTTTGGATAATTTCACTTCTGATCCGGCATTAGGTTAACAAAAGTAGTTAGAAAGTACAAGAGGTGTTAGTGTGACACACAGATTAGTTCAAGAACCGACGACTTCTGCATAACGAAGATGACGCATAGATTGTTAATCCTAAAGCCTATATACGATGTACTGCGCCAATTAACAGACAATAAATTGGAAGCAGTGTTCTAACGAGCTTTAAACAAGATTACACCCTTCCCGTCGTAGTTTCACCCTCGGAAATCTCTTCCATACAAGAAGGTTGCACTAAATCAACCACAGATTATGCTCCCCCCTGACAACTAACAAATTATCGCTATTTCATGCTTCTCTGTAAAAGTTAGCATCAACAAACTGGGGCATTAGCTGCTTTTTATTCCAGCTATAAACACGGGATATTTAAGTCGTTAGGCACGATTAATTAATATGGTATTGGGGATTCAATCTATCTGATCCTCCGTTTAAAGTTCTGGCTTAATCAAGGGAACTTACTACCAGGTAACCAGAGAAGTTTATCTTCACATCCACCTTCATTACTGTTCCTCTTGCGGAGTCTCCTTTGCGATTGCCGGATTCCATCCTAAGCACGTTATTGCCATTTCTAATCCGAAATGAGCGCGTTATTCTGTTGAAGATCGACGGAATAAGTGTGCTGATGTAGTCGGCTTTAGCGTTTTCTTTAGGGAATAACTTTATCTCCCTGTTTCTGTAACCTATTAGCGCCCGGTATATTGGCAGTGGACTTTTTATCCAAATCAGTTCGAACTTCTCTACGAAGTCTAACTTTGGAACAAAGGAACAAAAACTTTGTCGTGAGGTGGCGGTTATTTAAAGTACGAGCAGTGTGACTTCTGATTTTTCCGAAGGGCAGAGCATTCTTCTTAAAAAAAAAAGAACAAAACAAAACAACTAAACAAAGCAACATCAACAACAACGCCAAGATACGTACAAATAAAAAGAGGTAACTGAGTCAAAGCATAGCAGTTCTTAGGAAACCAAAAGCTCATGTTCAGATTGATAACAAAACGAAACGAGTGGTACAGAATGATTAGATACAAGTTTGCAGAACAGCTGTTTTTAGTTATACAGACATTTATTACGACTCTGTATAACACTGTCAAATATTGTGTGCCCGATTGATTTGTCACGTATTTTACTTTGTCAAACGTCGTGGAGAAGTTATGTAGCATCTACGCTGCAGCTTAGCGGCCTTCGCCCTGTGAGGGGTGTCAAGAGAGGGAAAAAGGCCTAAGTGAACTGTCCACCAGGGTAAAATAGAAATGTTCGGTGTGAAGAGGTGGTAGTTGTGGAGGGATGGCCGTCAGCGTTGGTTCGACCTTAGTTTCTAATTAAGAAGGGCAGTTCTGGAGGTCGTGGGGTAAGGTGTGTGCCCAATTACAATGAGTTTGTGATCCCCATGTGCATCTGTCTCTTAGTTACGAAACGATCTACGTAATGGTCAGTGACGTCCTCCAGGTTTAGTTGTCAAAAGAGCAACAGCGAGCTTAAGGCGGCAACATGTTCTCCTTGGTGTTGATGGCAATTTCAGCTTTGATCCCGGCCAACGGCGCTGAATTGTCTGCTGAGTTTGCTCACGAAGCAGTTTTAGATACTTACGAGAAAATGAAACTATTCTGGACGGTGAACTGGGAAAATAAAACCGTATCCTTTGCTGTTCAGGCAGCAACAACAGGGTGGGTTGGTTTCGGATTTCGTAAACTTTGCCCCGTTTACTAGGGATAACCGGTCTTCTAACGTACTGGACTCAATCAATAGACTCGTCTGAGTTTAACTGTTCGTTCTCGCGTATTCACTCAGTTACAGCAGGCGTGTAAAGAGCTACTCTGGCAACTTGAAACGAGATCCTAATTCTTATACTACATTCTCCACATTGTGATTGATCGTTGCTAAGCACTATGAAAAAGGTTATTCGAGGTTACGTCAATCATGTACAAATTAGAAACTCCACGATAATGTTGTTGACAAAATTAACGTCACGCAAGTAATCACGCAGTCTCCGACACGGCATCTCTTCGGGTAATGGAAATATGGCCGGCAGCGACATGGTTATCGGATGGGTGAAGGACTCCAAGGGTTACCTAACGGTAAGTGAATTTTTGCCGAAAGGACGTTAGTCACGGTGGATTTCTAGGCAGAAAAAGAAAAGGTTAACAAAGAAAAAAAGGAGTTAACGATATCACGACATCCAGATTTAGATGACTAAACAAACAGCCAAAGCGACGTTATAAACTGCATTTTTAGCCATTTCTATTTGAATAAAAACTTTTAACACTTTCAAACCAGTGCCTAAATTTAGGACGTATTCGTAGTTGCACGGAAACATTGGAATTTAAATGCTGTTCAAGCAAAGGTTTGCCCTTCTGTGAACATTGTTTACATTATATAAAAGTTCACACGGCAACCAGGTGGACAATAAGACATAGCTTGATGCTACTCTGGTTTGCAGATTTAATGAATGTAACCGAAGAAGTTTGGCATATTAACTCCGCCCACGCCCCTTTAAATCGTGACGATGGCGGTTTGCTTCCTGGCGCCTATTTTGCACCTCGTCAGAAAAAAGGCCGCTAATTAGTGATCATATAAACAGGACCTCTTGTTGCAGCGTTTAGATCACCCCTGATGAAGGCACTACACAGTAGTGTCGAAACGTTGGGTCTATGAATTGTAACTTCTTCGGTTACATTCATTAAATCTGCGAAACCAGAGTAGCATCAAACTATGTCTGATTGTTTACATTATTAGCGAGTAGCCCTTGCATTTGTCCCAGGACATTATTTTTCCTCAAAGCCTACAGTTTCCTTTCAGCTTTGCTAATTAACGGAGAATGTTCGCTTCTCGGCACTAGTAACGTCCGCGGACCGATATGAGGGTCAAAACGGCTAACGGTTAAAATTTTGGCTTTTTTATGACTAACGGTTAGTTTCTCTCCGTTGAAATTAAAATAAAAACTTTTAACTGTTGACATTTTTTACGACAAACGGTTAAAAGTTGTTAATTAACAGATAAATTTGTTCGCCGTTTCACGGCGAACGGTTAACCCTATTGAGACCCTCATGATCAGATATTGCGCCAAATGGAGGCTCTTGTTTATACTTACTGTCATTAGCACGGTACTAGCTCTTGCTACAGAACAGAAAGTTTCCTTTCGTGTCTCGTGATTCACATGCCCCTTTTGACGATCCTATTTATGCTGCGTTGCAATATCGATAAGGAAACCATAAGAACTTCCGTCACACAGTCAATATGCTCATTGATAATACTGCCATGAACTTAAGTTTGGTACATGAAAGACAAAAAAGAGTTTATTCAGCTGTGGTTCAAACAAGGTTTCTCTCCTATTCCTCTAAATGCGAGACAATGTAAATGAATAACTGACTAAATGCATAAATAGATATGTAAATAAACGAATGAATACCTTGATACGAAAACCATAAGAACTTCCGTCATGCAATCAATAAGCTCATAAAAAATACTGCCATGATTTCGAACTTAGGTTTGGTACATGAAAGACAAAAAAGTAGTTATTCAGCCGTGGTTCAAACAAGGTTTCTCTCTCATTCCTCTGAATGTGAGAGAATCTACACAAATAACTGACTAAATGCATCAATAGATATGTAAATAATTAGTATCTGTACAATGAAAGCCGTGATCTCATGAAGGCGTGTTCTCGATACCGTAGGATTACACAGAATGAATTAACTCAATAATAAATAATGGCAACACCAAATTTTAATGTCCCATATGTTATGTGTAGAGTGTGAGCAAAAATTGACGAAATAAGTTTTTTATTTTAAGCATGTTTTAGGGAAATCGGTCTTTAAACTTTATGACCCGTAACGCGCGGTCACTTTTACAACCGCTGTTTTGTCGATGTTTTGACTTCAAACACAATGAACTCTTTGGGAAAATCCAGTCGCTAAACATTTTGCAACCTTCCCTGATAACACTGCAAACGAATGACAAATAGAGTGACGGTCCGATCAGCCCCTCTTTGCCTAAATGGTTACGAAGAAACAGATGTTACGCAATAGATTGACAGATTACAGGTGGCATGCAGCTGGCACACAGTTAAAAAAAATGACACCATCATTGACTGACGGACTGAAGAAGATGAAGATAATAAGTCAGCACAGTCATGTCAACTGCGCGAAATCAGTGTCAAATTATATATATTTTGAGTCAGCAGTTTTGTATTGACGTCGACAAAACGTTTGCGTATGCAGTGAAGGATTTTTATGATATTTGAAGGATTGTTGTTTTTTTTCTTCTTATTGCGGGCGACCAGCGGAGCCCGCAATCCTAATCTCAACATTGGTTACAAACGCATGCGCGGCAGTTATATAGCCTTGCAGTGACTCGAATTTAGCAAAAAAAGTCGTCCTTCCAAATATTTGTCCCTGGGACACTAAGAACCAATGAAATGAAAGGACGTAATTTGAGCATAGGCGCTTTGACCACGCGAGACAAACACGAAGCAGCAGTAATTTGAGCACGGGCGCTCTGACCGCTAGAAACCAACACCAAGCAGAAGACAATTCTTACCAAAGCATAGCTGTTTCACGTTCCATAGTCAATGATCTTTAATGTAGTTAAGGGCTCAAATAATATGTAAATGTCGCCTTCTTGAAGCTAAGAATGTCAAAAATCACGTGCAGTTCATGCAGAAGTGGCGGTCCATAAATTGGAATGCACACAACACAATTTTATCACGTGGACGACGTCTATTTCGTCGAAGAATCACGTGCAGCTCATGCATAGCTGGCGCGCCGTCCAATCAAAATCGAGCGTGTGAACTTGTGATCGGAACGTTTCCTGTTCGTGTCTGTTGTTGTCGGGTATCGAAATCTTCCGGCTATTGCGAGAGATCTGTGTTCCTCCTTGGCGTTGTTGAACTGTAGAGCGAGAGCTGTGCGTCCATTGACCTTGGCGTTGATCCATTGAAGACTTGAACTGTAGAGCGAGAGCTGTGCGTCCACTGACCTTAGCGTTGATCCATTGAAGACTTGAACTGTAGAGCGATCGAGAGCTGTGCGTCCATTGACCTTGGCGTTGATCCATTGAAGACTTGAACTGTAGAGCGATCGAGAGCTTATAGTTACAGTTTCAACATGAACATTGTAGTGCATGAATGTGCTTTCATTGATCTATTTAGAAAAGTTACATACAAATGTGACTAAAAAAATAATATGTCGTAACAACTACAACATTGTATTTGTAAATTACTTTGCATTCCAGTTTTTAAATGAACATTTAATGAATGTCCTTTCACTCATCTATGCAAGAATAGTTATATACAATACAGTCATTTCGTTTCAGTTTTATTAACAAATAGTTTGTGTTTTTAACAGATATAATTCAAAACAATATTGATACATTTCTCTTTCCATTACAATTTCAAATAAATCATTGTTCCATTACATCAAATGACCTTGACTCAATCAACATGTCCATTTTACAATCAACAGTGTTTTTATTTACAACGTGAAAAAACAACCATTTTGTCAAACCCAACACAAAATAGAACTGGTGTATAATCAAACTGGTGTTACTGTTTCACAAGGTCAGTAAAACCACTCTTAGGTCCCTTTGTCTCGTTTATGGGAAAACAATCACCCACACTATGCAACCCTTTATTGCGCTGCAAATATAAATGCCCAAAATGGAAAAAGAACACAACGCCACTGTTTCACAATGAAATCGTTAACCTCAGTGAAACAAATCATGCATAGCCCTCGCACGCACTTCCTAACCTGTGGTTATTACTAGTTCATTAGCCTTGTTTATAGACATTACCTTTACACCTGTGCTCAGCGATTTCATTTTTTAACGTGATTTTCACTCCGTTTGTTGGATTTTGATTTATATTTTATACCAATCTCTGCTAAGCCACATTGCCTGACTCTTTAACCGGTGAAGATCACATACTTGACCGTGTAAAATTCTATTAACGAATCATTTGTAGCCCTAGATCATCTAAAGAATTATTTAAATCTAATATTTCTAATAAGTTCACTTATAGAGGTCACTCAAACTGCACGATACAGTGTGAATTTTGTTTCCGTTTCACTCCTGTTCTGAGCCTGCTGAGAGGATAGTGGAATTATTTTTTTTTGCTAGGAATTAAAATTATGTAAAGTAGCCCTCCTTCGAGCGAATTATTTCTTTGGCCAGTATAAAATAATGGATATCTCTATTAGCATCTGTAGATGCTTAAAATAGCTACAAATACTGTGTTGAACGCGAATTTCAAGTATCCGTAGTTGCATCACATGATCAAGTGCTCATGTGATTCAACTACGGATACTTGAAATCCGAGAACAATGTAGTATTTATTAGACCTTTTGTATTGTTCTATTCATAGATTGCATTGAGTAAGGTTATTTTAGCAAATTATAGAGTTGCTGGTTTTATAGTTGCAAAACGTTTCGTCATGATTAAGCTCGGATGCCTGAAAGAAATGTATCTTTCAGTGCTCGTGGTTTTATCAGTTCTAGTCTCAGCCAGAGCCGCTGTTCTCTCTTCTGAGTACGCTCACTATGCAGCTTTGGATCCGAAAGAGTTAATGAAGCTGTACTGGACGGTCGACTGGGATAAGGAAACCGTGTCTTTTGCTGTTGAGGCGGCAACTACAGGATGGGTAGGTTTTGGAATCTCGTCAGGGAATGGCAAGATGGTGGGTAGCGACATGGTTATTGGATGGGTAAAGGACTCCAAAGGCTACTTGACGGTAGGTCAATTGTAAGACTATTGCTCATCGTGCATTCTCGGTTAACATTCCACAGATACTCCGCACGGATTTTGACACTCTCGCGCTGCTCGGAATGTTAGGGATGCTAGGATAATATCTTAACATTTCTAAAAAGTACTTACAGTTGAGGCCGCTTGCGTCCCCTCATCTAATTTTGTTGTCGTTGTTATGATTAGAAAAAGCATCAATTCACGTTCATTTTGTTGCACAAGATCGTCGGAATTAGCCGCCTGTCACTATATCATCGAATCATTGTTTACAAAATAATGAATAATGAATAACGATGTAATGAATAACGAAGCCTCGACGGTCCTCCGTTCTGTGTTTTGTATAAAGCATGCTGGATGAGGCTAGAGCACGAAAATTTCTTCTTCTGCTCACTTGGTTTCGCCATATTTTCTTGTGACGTTGCAATTAATTCTCATTTTTTGGAGGGAAAGAGGGCAACAAGCATCCTTGACACTAGTCAGTGTATGACAGGGATCACAATTCCCTCTAATGTACTGTCTTTTCAATCCATTTATCTACCGGCAGTAAAATGTGTCTCCACCAAATTTGTGGGGGAAATTTGTTATAAAGATTGAATAATGATGCGAGTTCGTAACAAAGCTGCATGGTGATCTTTCTCGAGTATTCATTCATTAATTAGGCGTGCGTGATGATCACATTTTCATCACACCAGCCTTTGTTCAGAAACAAGAGATGATCTTATCTTGTTCACAAATAAGAGACATTATTCATATCTTTATTACAAAAATAGACCCCTCATTTGAAAAGATTCGTTAATTACCTCATAAAACTGGAAAAAACCTGTTTCTATGATTAAGGTCGATGGATGAATAAGAGAATTTGCTATAATTAATTTCGTTCAGCTCGTAACAGGTTCGTTTCGCTGCGGTAAACGCTTTCAAGAGAGATTTTAAAACGGTTCATCATGTTAATCATGATGTTATATTTGTCTGAATGGCACAAGAAGGAATGCGGAAAACGGAATGACGTATACCAAGAAAATAAGTTGTTTGTCGCAGGTGTGCCGCTGGTGTGCCGCAAGGCACAAAACTGGGCCCCTGACCTTTCATCTTAATGATTAATGACTTGAGAGTTAGTAACGTACGTATGTAGAAGTATGTGGACGACACCACTATAGCCGAAATCGCGCCTAAGGGAGGCCGAAGTAACATCCAGAGCGCTGTCGACGCCGTCTAGGACTGATCTCATGAGCAGAATATGCAACTCAACGCGGATAAATGCAAGGAATCGACTATTTATTTTAGAAGAACAAGCAATCATTCGATCTTGTAGTAGTCGGTGGGAAGGAACTTTCTAAGGAGCAACGTGCTAAGATATTAGGAGTTACGATATCTAAAGATCTGAAATGAAACGGGCATGTATATGATAAGAAAAGCAAATAAGCGCTTGCATTTCTTAGTGCTCCTTAAGAGGGCTGGTGTTAGCCATCAGGACATTATACAATTCTATTGTGCAGTTATAAGATCAGTATTAGAATACTGTACCCCTATTTTGCACCATAGCCTTCCTGAATACCTTAGTGAACACCTCGAGCGCGTCCAGAAAAGAACCATGTCAATAATCGCGCCTTATCAATCGTCTAAACAATCCCTAGAGAGCTACGGACTCTTTACTCTACGCCAAAGACGCGATGATCACTGCTAAAAGCTATTCAGTGGCATCGCCAATTCGAGCGATCACAGTCTCGCCCACTAACTTCCCCCACGTCATCAAGGTTCATATAACTTGAGAAGCAAAAGAACTTTCAATCTGCCACGATTTCACACCAACCGTTTCAAAAACTCATTCATCCCGGCCATGTGCCAACGAGTAAATATATAGCAATGTTTCGTAAACTGCAGTGCTCTTAGCCAGTAATTTGTACAGAGCACTTTAGTTATATAGAAACCCCATTGTAAATAGCCTTAGTTTTAATTGTACTATATTTATATTGTGAATAGTTATTCCATTCAGCCTTTGGCTGCGACTTAGTTATTTCTATTAAACTATCTGTCCATATCTATCTCACGTCATATTGCTACTTAAAATAAAAAACCGAACTTACTTTAAACATACTTTACACGGACACGTGCCTTATTAGTATTAGCCACCCCTCACATCCTTAGAGAGCAGTCCATTGACTGTCCATAGATGTACGAGCCTATGACGGATCTGCTGTAAGTGAATGATTTGCCCGGGCAACCTTGGGAAAAGCGTGCAGATGATAAACCGAGGGGTTTGGGAAATTTACATCGATGTGTAACTCTAAAGTAATGTGTATCCAACTAAATAACAACTCTATTTACAGTAACGTTCCCTTCATGAACCTCACTATTTATACCCTGATTTGAAAGCAATCATTTGTTCCTTTACTATCAGACATAAAATGAAAGTTTCGCTTTTGTCTTCTTCTCAGGATCGTTTTGCTGATGCAGAGAGTCTACCGCCCTTGGACTGGCAAAAAAACTACGATTTGACTGGCTGGGAGGAAACAGACAGCAAAACCGTGTTGAAGTTTAAAAGAAAATTTGACACCTGTGATCCTAAAGATAGGAAGATTGAAGTATAAAAACCAACCGCTAAATATTTTATATTCCTCGCATTTTGTATATGTTTGACTTTATAAAATTATTTTTCTCCAATTGAGTATGAAAGAATGGAAACTTTAGTGCTTTTTCCTTGCCACTAAATGCGCTTTTGTTCTTCACGTTTCTTTCAGCAAGGTACCACAAAAGTCGTTTTTGCTTATCACACAGAAGACCCAAAGTCTGAGAATAACATAAAGAAACATACCTTTAGGGGTTCAAGGAGTATCCTTCTCCTTAATAATTTGGACAAGAAAACTGTGGATGAGAAAGGATGGAAGCAATTCGACGTTTTCAGTTATAATGTGGGTACATGCTTTTGATCATTATTACAAAATGTTCATCTTTTCTTCACGAAAACTTATTTCTGTCGCAAATCACAGTTAAAAATTCAATCCTTGATAACATCATATTACAGGTTACAATTCCCAAAAAGCACACAACATACTGGTGTTCTCTCGTCAAGATCCCGGAAATCAGAGGCAAACACCACATAACAAAGGTTTGTCATTACACTGATGTACTTTATTACTGGTCAATTGTTTTCAGTGTCTTTTCCATCGTCTTTAACTTGTTATTGTCACTATTCAGTTTAATTTTATGCTGATCAAGTCTTCCATGGGTCAGCTTGGTATTCATTTGGACCAAACTTAAGACGATTCAACGATAAAACCCTCCATTTGTCACTTGTGGGCTTTGTCGCCCTACACGTCTTTCTCATCTAGAGTTGACCTTTAGCTTCATTTTCACAAAATCGTTTCGTCGTTTTTCATACATATTGATAATGGTCAACTATAAATTAAACATTTTGTTTGTTACGCGCATTTTCCGTTACCCGATGTGGCCCCTCTCGCTTGTACTGAAATTTCTCTCATAGGACGTTTTAAACTTCCCCTGAGATAAGTCTGACCACCATAACTTTCATCATTTTCATTTTTCAGTTTGAGCCAGTTGTGAAAAAAGGAAACGAAGGTATCGTGCATCATCTTGTGGTCTACACATGTCCAGTGAACTATAATGACAGCCATTATGGCTCTGGGTATGATTGTGAGGATCCAAATATGCCACTAAGAGAGTGTTATGGCTCTCAAAATATTGTAGCGGCGTGGGGAATTGGAGGCGAGGTAAGGAGTTTTGGTTGATGATACTCTAGATGAAGTTAATAATTTTATTAAAATTGAAATGCAAATCAAAACTATTTGTATTTATCTTAAAAACCCACCACGGCAGAATTAGTGATCTCATTTACTATTTATTTTGTTAACGTCTAGGCATTTTACTATCCAACGCACATTGGTTACCCGATTGGAACGGAAGATTCACCAAATAATTATTTTCTAGAACTACACTATGACAATCCAGAGAATATTGAAGGTCAGTGAATCTGTCCCTGCTGTTGATATTAAGCTGCTTTAAAACAGCTCTTTTGCTGTTATTGAGCTTCAAAAAAGTCTCTTGGGCTGTGTTCTCACATCTCAATCGTTACTTTGTTTTAAAGGACGGAAAGACAATTCAGGAGTTCGTTTTTACTACACTCCCCACCTCCGTGACTACGATGCTGGTACAATGACAGTCGGAGAAGCATTTACCTCATATATGGTAATCCCGCCACAACAAGAATCTTGGTTAACTAAAGGATATTGCCCCAAAGAGTGTTATCAGGTAACTTTGTCGCAGATATTTTGCTCTTTGAGATTTGGGAACTGTTTGTGTGCCGGCATTTCTCATCGAAAAAAATTTTACTCAAACACCTGGAAATTTAATGCATTAATGCGTTCCCACCTTTGCGATTTTTTTCCCATTTCATCTACTTCCACCCTTTTTCAGAAAACCTTGGAATCGACAACACTTCCAGAAAAAGGGATAAAGGTCTTTGCTTCTTTCCTTCACACTCATCTACAGGGTTAGTCCATTATTGATGTCTACTTAAATTATTTCATATTCTTCCTATTTCCAAATACAAAATACATACAAGCTAGAAAGAACTCATTATTGTCTCAGACAACATGCTGTGCAGTTGATAATGTCTAATCAGTCCATTGATTTTTTTATTGAGTGCAGATTCATAAAGTCATACTGCTATACTTTTCCATCAGGGCGTGCAACATGGACGAAACATGTCCGCAACGGAGTTGAATTACCTGAAATTGTCCGTGATGACAATTATGATTTTAATTTTCAGGTAAATGAATAAGTTAACGCTTCTTTATCTCCACTTTAAGTTTGCTTTGTTATTCATATACGTATAATCGATTCTGTGATGAACTTATAAACTGCTAGCGACGGGCATAAGTGGGCCTACATAGTTATTCTTGAAAACATTCTCAGAAAAAGAAATGGAAATTTTGACAATAGGGGAGAAAGTTTAAAATTTCGTCGAATGCAAGAGCAGAAGCATGCACTGTTGGTTGTATAATTATCTGGAATGTTCACCCCTATGATGGTATCACATGTAGTCACTTTTAAAGAATTATTCCTTCATTGGTTTTTATCCCTTCAATCAGTTAAAAAATCGATCGGTTACTTGATCTAATTATCATAAAGACAAGTAAACTTTCCTTTCGCAGGATATACAAATTTTAAGGAAGGAGGTTCACGTAAAACCGGTGAGAGCCACTTAACACATTTTACTTTTAAGAAAAGTTGAAAATCTTCTGATGCAAAGAAAAGGATTAACAAATGTTAAATACGTTTGCTCAACTTTAAATGCCTTATCGACATTAAGACATGAAAATTAAACATTGCCAAATATATTGACCTTTTTTTGTCCTTTAGGGAGACGATTTGATTCATTATTGCAAATATCAAACTATGGACCGCGATAAGCTCGTAATGGTAAGTTGACAGCAGGGGAAAATGCATTATCATACACATTATGATGGTAAATTTATAAAACACGCATGGTGTAGCTTTCTAGTAGTTAACTCGTTCAGAAGCACGTCATCAGTTTTTCGGCAGTAGTTTATCGGAAACTTACTTGGCGCTTACTTTAATCACAACCTTGGAAAGCCCTATATCTTCATCTGCCTGCCTGAGGATAATTTATGATTTGATTTGAAGTTGTTGTACTTCAGGGAATCCTATAAATGTAGTACCTTTAGTAAGCTTGTACCTCTTTTGGTCTTCAAGGAAAGTTACGGGATTGAAGCTCCTCAGTTGGGTATCATATATTGAATATCAATCATTGCGCTATAAACTTGGAGTTTCCACGTTGCGAAAGATCTGTTGTTATTTTTTTCATTATTTTAATTATTTCGTTTTATGCTTCATATATTTAGGGTGGAGTAGCAACCTCTGAAGAGATGTGCCTAAACTTCTTATTTTACTATCCAAAAGTGTCGAATGTCACGTTAAACTGCGTCAGTTTTCAAAGAGACCCAGTACAAGACTTCATCAGAAGTAACATGTAAGTACTACACTGGTTTGCAGATTTAATGAATGTAACCGAAGAAGTTACAATTCATAGACCCAACGTTTCGACACTCCTGTCTAGTGCCTTCATCAGGGGTGATCTAAACGCTGCAACAAGAGGTCCTTTATATGATCACTAATTAGCGGCCTTTTTTCTGACGAGGTGTAAATAAGCGTCAGGAAGCAGACCGCCATCGTCACCATTTAAAGGAGCGTGGGCGGAGTTAATGTGCCAAGCCTCCAAACAAAGGCGCTGGTGGTAATGCTGATTGGTGGTGATAATTTTAGAATTATCCCACCCAATTGTATGGTTGGTTAGGCAAGTATGCTCCGATAAAGCTGAATTTTCCTTTTTGCAAAGAAAAACCGCCTTTTGGTGCTCTTTTAACCGTGTACCAAACTGGCGTTTGGTCTGTCCGATGTATTCGTTGTCACAGTCATTGCAAGGAATAGAATAAATGGCGTCGGTTCGTTGTTCTTTCGTGACAGGATCCTTAGGTTTGGCGAAAATATGCCCCAAAGTCTGAAAAGGTTTTTGAGCAACTTTAATGTTGTGGCTATTCAAAATTCTCTTGATGGGTTCAGTAACACCCTGTATGTAAGGAATAACAGCAAAACCAGTCGCTGGTTCCCTTTCATCAAGAGCGTTACTATTTGTAACTGGTTTTTGGCAGTTACGGAGAAAAGTTTTTGTATAGCCATTTGCCTTTAGGACATTGGAAACATATTTCCTCTTCTCAGCCTTCGAATCGAGTGATGATGGTAGACAGTCAGCCCTCCTAAGTAAAGTTTTGCCTACAGACTTCTTATGGCAAATAGGATGGTGAGAATCGAAAGCGAGGTATTTGTCGGTGTGGGTGGGTTTACGGTAGACACTCGTCTCTAAATTACCCTGAACCCCTCTGGACACGTCTAAATCAAGAAAGGGCAAATGTCTATCCTTTTCACGTTCAAGGGTGAATTGGATCGACGGCTCTACTGAATTCAAATGCGACAAGAGGCGCTCCGGTTCATTTCCGGATACCGCAGAAATAACATCATCGACATATCGTTTCCAGAAAAAGGGTTTAACCGGTGAAGTGGCTAAGGCCCTTTGTTCCACGTCTTCCATTACCATGTTAGCAATGACAGCAGAAACAGGCGAACCCATCGCTGTACCAAAAACTTGTTGATAGTATGTGCCGTTATATGTAAATTGCGTGGTTTTGAGGCAAAAAACAGCAGATGAATAATATCCTCCACAGGCAAAGAAGTTCTTTGTCCTAGGGAAGCATCTTCTCTGAGTCTTTCCTCCGCAACCTTAACGGCAAGATCAACAGGGATTTTGGTGAAGAGCGAAACAACGTCGAAAGATACTAATTCTTCACTAGTGTCAAGAGTTTTATCTCTTATGAAATCCGTAAATTCGCAGGAATTTTTGACAGTGTAATCAGTATTCCCAACAACAGGCGACAAAATTCTCGCAAGATAACCAGAAATTGCATAAGTCGGAGAATTGACAACAGAGACAATGGGTCTCAAAGGAATTCCCGGTTTATGAATTTTAGGTAAGCCATAAAAACGTGGACATAAGCCGTCACTACTGTATAACATTTTGTACGTAGAGTCACTAATTCTACCAGCTTTTTTCAAATCAAGCAACATTTTGTTTAACTTTCTTTGAGTTTTACTGGTAGGATCAGAGTTTAAGACAGCATACGTACTCTTGTCATTAAGCAGAGACAAAGCTTTGTCGTGATATTGCTGTTTGTCCATAACCACAACACAATTACCCTTGTCAGCAGATAATACGAGCCTGTCCGGATCCTTTTTGAGAGTTATAAGCGCATTGAAAACATCCTTTTGAATGTTTTTGGGAGGAGGTTTAGCACGCCTGAGTATGCTACTTACTTCTGCTCTTACCCAATGCCTACGATCGTCGTCGAGTTGAGAGATACTCTCCTCAACAGCGGCGACAATTTCGGCAGTCGGTATTTTGCGAGGAGCAATAGCAAACTTTAGACCCTTCTCTAAACCACTCCGTTCCAGCGCGGATAATTCCTTGGAGGAAAGGTTCAAGACCCATTTATCTTTCAGAGATGAGCCTGAATTAACAGGAGACCTCTTACTGAGCAAGTGACGGAGTTTTCTGTCGTGTTTCTCTCTCTGTTTGGTAAACGTCTGCAGTTCTTTCGAATTGCAAAACTCCTCGACCCAGGAAGTTTCGGAGTTGTTAATCAAAGCAGAGAGTTCACTGAGTGAACGAGAGAATAACGTACGCAACCGCAGTATGGTTAATTAAATCGTGACGATGGCGGTCTGCTTCCTGACGCTTATTTACACCTCGTTAGAAAAAGGGCCGCTAATTAGTGATCATATAAAAGGACCTCTTGTTGCAGCGTTTAGATCACCCCTGATGAAGGCACTAGACAGGAGTGTCGAAACGTTGGGTCTATGAATTGTAACTTCTTCGGTTACATTCATTAAATCTGCAAACCAGTGTAGCATCAAACTATGTCTGATTGTCCACCGGGTTGCCGTGTGAACTTTAATATATGTAAGTACTGTTGATATTCCTAACCGGCAGCGGACTTTTCTCGGAATTGAAGTTTTAAGGATGGCGCCTGGAAATTTTGGATGAATATTTCTTTTAGCGACTGTTCATTTATTCGATCACTATTTGCTTATTTCTGATGGCAGCGCATCTCTCAACGTGACGTCTGAGTGGTCTAATCCTCTTGTTGGTGCGAATGTTACTTGGACGAAAGAAATGGCGACAGACTTGCAGAGGAGATACAACGAAGCTGAAACATTTCTTGCACCTTGTCTTTGGGTAAGTAAACCCTCCTACTCGGGTATGTCATAAATCATTTCCTTAAATTTTGGTATATCATCAAAAAGGTAAAAAAGTGGAGTTAAGAAAGACAGCCTGAAACCGACACTGATGTTTTTTCCGTTTTGATAATTACAAAGTACGTTTTTTCAACAGAAAAGTGTCGCATGATTTTCGGATTTTTCGAGTCGTTTATCTATATACTAATCGATTTAATTTCGTATTTGACAGGGAAAAATACCCGGCAACAGGTTGTCAGTGCCAAAGATAACCCGTTCTCTACCACCAAAAGAGTCAAAGTGTGATCAACCAGCTGCTGCTGTCTCTGCCATGGTGACTGCCTCGCGTTCTTTGTTTCTTTCTTTGCTGATGGTGTATTTGATGTTGCTGTAAGATTTGACGTGGAGCTTTTTTCTTTTTTTACGCATGATAAAAGAAACCGTATTTTAAGATAAACATATAGCAAATTAATAAACAGTTTGGTAGTTCTGATGACTTTGCACATGTGTTCATGATTCCCTTTTATTGTGTTGCGATAAATCTGAAGGACGGAGATCCATCGGGAAGACTATCTGTTTTTTTTAAATATGATGAGATTAATCAATTTTGACGGTCTCCTCGTTTTTAGATCAACTTGTAACATGAGAGATAAATGGTGAAACAGTGTGTGAAAATTAATGATGATAAATAATAGCACTGTTTGGATAATTTCACTTCTGATCCGGCATTAGGTTAACAAAAGCAGTTAGAAAGTACAAGAGGTGTTAGTGTGACACACAGATTAGTTCAAGAACCGACGACTTCTGCATAACGAAGATGACGCATAGATTGTTAATCCTAAAGCCTATATACGATGTACTGCACCAATTAACAGACAATAAATTGGAAGCAGTGTTCTAACGAGCTTTAAACAAGATTACACCCTTCCCGTCGTAGTTTCACCCTCGGAAATCTCTTCCATACAAGAAGGTTGCACTAAACCAACCACAGATTGTGCTCCCCCCCTGACAACCATCAAGTTATCGCTACTTCATGCTTCTCTGTAAAAGTTAGCGTCAGCAAACTGGGGTATTAGCTGCTTTTTATTCCAGCTATAAACGCGGGATATTTAAGTCGTTAGGAACGATTAATTAAGATGGTGCTGGGGATTCAATCTATCTGATCCTCCGTTTGAAGTTCTGGCTTAATCAAGGGAACTTACTACCAGGTAACCAGAGAAGTTTATCTTCACATCCACCTTCATTACTGTTCCTCTTGCGGAGTCTCCTTTGCGATTGCCGGATTCCATCCTAAGCACGTTGCCATTTCTAATCCGAAATGAGCGCGTTATTCTGTTGAAGATCGAAGGAATAAGTGTGCTGATGTAGTCGGCTTTGGCGTTTTCTTTAGGGAATAACTTTATCTCCCTGTTTCTGTAACCTATTAGCGCCCGTTATATTAGCAGTGGACTTTTTATCCAAATCAGTTCGAACTTCTCTACGAAGTCTAACTTTGGAACAAAGTAACAAAAACTTTGTCGTGAGGTTGCGGTTATTTAAGGTGCGAGTAGTGTGACTTCTGATTTTTCCGAAGGGCAGAGCATTCATACTTCTTAAAAAAAAAAAAAAGAACAAAACAAAAGAACTAAACAAAGCAACATCAACAACAACGCCAAGGTACGTACAAAATAAAAAGAGGTAACTGAGTCAAAGCATAGCAGTTCTTAGGAAACCAAAAGCTCATGTTCAGATTGATAACAAAACGAAACGAGTGATACAAAATGATTAGATACAAGTTTGCAGAACAGCTGTTTTTAGTTATACAGACATTTATTACGCCTCTGTATAACACTGTCAAATATTGTGTGCCCGATTGATTTGTCACGTATTTTACTTTGTCAAGCGTCGTGGAGATGTTATGTAGCATTTACGCTGCAGCTTAGCGGCCTTCGCCTTGTGAGGAGTGTCATAAGAGGGAAAAAGGCCTAAGTGAACTGTCCACCAGGGTAAAACAAAAATGTTCGACGTGAAGAGGTGGTCGTTGTGGAGGGATGGCCGTCAGCATTGGTTCGACCTTAGTTTCCTAATTAAGGAGGGCAGTTCTGGAGGTCGTGGGGTAAGGTATGTGCCCAATCACAACGAGTTTGTGCTCCCCACGTGCATCTGTCTCTTAGTTACGAAACGATATACGTAATGCTCAGTGACGTCCTCTGTTTAGTTGTCAAAAGAGCAACAGCAAGCTTATGCCGGCAAAATGTTCTCCTTAGTGTTGATAGCAATTTCAGCTTTGGTCCCTACCAATGGCGCTGATTTGTCTACTGAGTTTGCTCACGAAGCAGTTTTAGATACTTACGAGAAAATGAAACTGTTCTGGACGGTGAACTGGGAAAATAAAACCGTATCCTTTGCCGTTCAGGCAGCAACAACAGGGTGGGTTGGTTTCGGAATCTCTTCGGGTAATGGAAATATGGCCGGAAGCGACATGGTTATCGGATGGGTGAAGGACTCCAAGGGTTACCTAACGGTAAGAGAATTTTTGCCGAAAGGACATTAGTCACGATGAAGTTCTAGGCAGAAAAACGAAAAGGTTGACAAGGAAAAGAAGGAGTTAACGCCATCACGACATCCAGATTTAGATGAATAAACAAACAGCCAAAGCGACGTTAAAAACTGTATTTTTAGCCATTTCTATTTGGATCAAAACTTCCAACACTTTCAAACCAGTGCCTAAATTTATGACGTATTCGTAGTTGCACGGAAACATTGGAATTTAAATGCTGTTAAAGCAAAGATTTGCTCTTCTGTGAACATTGTTTGCATTATTAGCAGTATCAGCACAACATTGGCCTGTTGTCACGATAACGTGTCTGTAGATAAAGGTAAACTAATGCATCTAAGATTTTTTTGTTATTTAAGTTATGCAAAACAGTTTCGTATTATAAGTCGTTGTTGGTGAGGGAAATCAAAAAGGAGCAAACCAATTGCCTTTTTAAAGAGTTGGCACCTCCAAGCTGTACGTTTTTCATTACAGAATAGTCTGCAGTTGAGCTGTGAATGAAGCTTAGCTTAAAAAAAAAACATAGTTAACCACGGTTAGTTTTTGATCTCGTTTTATTGACTTGTTTTGAAGGACCGGTTTGCTGATTCCCAAAGCTTTCCACCGTTGGACAAAGAAAACAATTACAACTTAACTGGGTTTGAGGAAAGCGAAGGGAAAACTGTGTTGAGATTTAGTAGGAAATTTGACACCTGTGATCCTCGTGACAGGAAGATTGAGGTAATCCTTAACATAGCCTATTCGTTTTTTCCCGTATCAGTCAACTCGGCCAAAATATTTAATCATGGCTAAAAAATTATTTGTACTGCCTTTTAAAGGCAGTGTCACTGTGTCTGAATAAATTGTATACCATGTTGATATAATGTTTATCGCTACATCATTCAACTGTTCAGCCCTAATTAATTATGTTCTCTTGTTTTTTTTTTAAAGCAAATAAAGTAAATTGATATTTCACTGTTTACTCTTTTTTTCATAGGAAGGCACCACTAAAGTTGTGTTTGCATATCATGCAGAGGACCCCACGTCTGAGGACGATATGAAGAAACATACATTCCGAGGGTCGAAGAGCATTCTACTTCTTAACAACATGGACAAAAAACAAGTGAACGAAACCGGGTGGCAGCAGTTTTACGTCACAAATAGAAATGTTAGTTACAAATAAAAATTGTTCTTTAAGTGTTCTAAATTGTGGAGAATTTTGTCGAAAGCGAAGAGTGTCCAGTCATGGAATCTGAAGCCTACTCAAAATAAAAATACCTTTTCTTCAGGTAACAATTCCTAAAAAGCACACAACGTACTGGTGTTCTCTTATCCAGCTACCCGAGTTCAAATCAAAGCATCATATTACAAAGGTGAGTACAGAAGTGCAAAACATTGCAATGAAACCTGTTTCATCCGTTTATCTCTTCTTATGGTTAAGTGACTGATCAGTGCAGAAGGCCACCGTGTAAATTCTTACGAAAATGATTAAAAAATATGAACTTGCATGTTTAGAAATGCGTTGATAACAAAATCGTTTAGACGCTCCAACTGAGTTCTCCAAGGAAAGGCAATTTTGTAGTCGGTGAGATTTAGTGACATTGCAATAACTTTCGAAATTTCATTTATGCATTTCAAAATTCTCCACTTTTGATTAGTCGTGTCAGAAAAAGCCACACCTTTAAGTGGAATGGTTAGTTAACGGCGGGTTACGAAATGTCTAGGAATAGGGAAGAACCTAAGGTAGGTTTACGAAAGGTGTGCCGGTTGGCCTAAGGTTTCACAAACGTTTGGTTCTTAGTGGCATTCTAGATATTTTCTTGTATCAAGTAATCAATAATTAGAAGTAAAGCGTTCCGCTATTGATGTTGGTGTCGCTTTCGCAAATTTTCAGTTTTTTCCTCTTTTATAGTTTGAGCCATATGTAACACCTGGAAACGAAGGCATCGTGCATCACTTACTCGTCTACGAGTGTTATGGGAATTTTAGTAATGCTACCTTACATGGTTCTGGCTTTGACTGTTATGAAACACCCAATATGCCTCTAAGACATTGTTACGGCTACAGTGTGGTTGCTGCTTGGGCTGTTGGTGGTACGGTAAGATATACAACTTAGAAATTGGACTCGCTCACCTTAGGAAATTAACTTTTTGAATTTGAAAGGTTTTTCGTTACTCTTACCAAAAAAAAGAATTTTTTTTTTCATCAAACAGGCATTTTATTATCCACCGAAGGCTGGGTATCCAATTGGTACGTCGGACTCGCCAAGAACACTTTTGCTTGAGCTACACTATGACAATCCCGATGCAATTGAAGGTTAGCACCTCACATTTTGCTTTTTTTATTTGTTTTAATTTTAAATTAAGAAATAGAAACAATGAGAGGCGTCGTATTTTGCCCTCATCTAAAAAATATCTCATTCCCTCATTCATTTTTTGTCAAATAGAACGAAAAGATAGCTCAGGGGTTCGTTTTTACTACACTTCTCATCACCGTGAGTACGATGCTGGGATAATGTCTGTTGGAGAAAGTATAAGTAAATTTGCGATAATCCCACCAAAACAGGAATCTTGGTTGACTGTGGGTTACTGTCCCAAGGAATGCTATAAGGTAAATTGTCTCAAATGTTCACAATCACTCTGCGTTTTCATGCAAAATTTCTAATTTATCTTCATGCAATCCAGACTTCCAAAAAAAGGGGAAAAAAGGCAATATGGTGAAGCTGGCTTCGAAAAGGAGCAAAACACATGTGGTTTACAAATTATGATTTTACCTTTTTTTATACACGGTGCATTTAAGTTTGCACAGTGCCTAGGAACGTGTGTCATAAATTTACTCCTGCACTTAATGTCAAGCACCTTTTTTCTTAGGAAGACCTGCAGGCGACTAAGCTCCCTGAAAAAGGAATAAAAGTGTTTTCTGTCCTTCTTCACACCCATGCACCTGCAGGGTAAGTGACCTTGCTCTGCTTTCGTTGTTTAGAAGTAGTGGTTGTTGTTTGTTTATATTTACGCCTGCCTGTCTTATGTTTCCACGTTCTGTTGACAGTCGTACTTCATTATGGAGCCAAACTTAAATATAACTGAGTTTTTGTTTTCATCCACAGGGCGTGCAACATGGACAAAGCATGTTCGCAACGGAATTGAGTTACCAGAAATTGCAAGAGATGACCACTATGATTTTAACTTTCAGGTAATTTATACTTCATACCAATGGTGCGACTTAATGTGGCACAAGATTCACTATTAGCATTTAGTGAATGCACGAGAATTGTAATACATGGCTGCTTTCAGAAAACAATTTGCATTGGACATTGCTGTCTGCCAAGCTGCGAAATGATCTTATTAAAAAAACTTTTCTTCATTTCCAATAATTAACATTTACCTGTTGTTTCGCAGGATATACAAGTTTTGAGAGAAGAGGCTCACATCAAACCGGTTTGAGAAAACTTTGATTTTAGTGCCACTTTTTTCTAGAATTATATTTTATTTTAGCTCATAAACAAATAATAAATTATATGAGTTAGAAGATGTGTCCCTTTGATTTATTCAATGCACTCAAGCTCTCCACGCGACCATTTTAAATTAGTATCTAAATGCGCAAATGTAATTGAATATTCTGATGGAAGAACAACATTGCATATGATAATTTTAAATTCCTTTTTTAAATAAAATTAGATTAAGTTTGTGTGTGTTTGATCTTTTCTATCAGATCGGGATTTGAAAATTCGCCTGCAAATGATCGCCACACATTTGTGACATAAAATTTTTATATTCCGTTTTCTTGACTGACGTCTTTCTTATCCTTCAGGGGGACGACTCAATTCATTTCTGCAAATACGAGACAATGGATCGCGATAAACTCGTGCAGGCAAGTGCGATATCTGAGCCCCTAAAAATCACTGATTAGTCTCTCCAAGAGTATGGGCGGCATTCAGAATTCAGATTGGCGTTGGTTTTCTCATAGCAGTGACACCTCTCTCAATCCTTTTTTCAAGTGATTGCAACAAAAACATGCCATCGTTGATTTTTGCTATATATGCTTCATGACAGAGTGACAGATGATGTACTCCTATTCCACCTACAGGCTGGTATCTCTACCACTCAAGAAATGTGTCTGAATTATATGTTTTACTATCCTCGAATGGTGAATGCCACAGCATATTGCTTCAGCTCTCTACGTAAGCCAGTGTACGACTTCATCAAAGAACACTTGTAAGTGAATTAATACATTCTTGCTAAAATAATGTTAAATTAGACCTGGTCTGCTGCTTAGAAACCACCCTAATACGTTAGTCGTGAAAATAATCAAAAGGAGCCTTAAAAGTGGGACAACAGCTCAAATAAAACCAGTGTTGCATGCTTTGCCAGCTTAAATCTTTCGCATTTCTCAACAAGAAGTCGTTTTTGGGAGCTATTTTATTTAATAATCACCCATCCCTGTTTAATTTCACAAGTACTGGCATCGTCTATGAATAAAAAAAGTAAGAAGTTTAACACTGAAGTATTGGTATTCGGAGCATTGTAATTATTCCATAGATATGCTATTTGTGTATTTGGTTCAATCTTATACTGTCGTGCTGAGGTATCCCCCCCCCCTGAAAGGAGGAAATGAATTTCTTTTACAAAGGGCTCTATCATAGCTTATATCCGCGTATTTCATTCTTCGCGTGAAACGAAATGATCCGTCCAGCCAGTTTCTTGAAGGTAATAGAACATTCAGCATTGATCATGACTGGCATCCTTTCTTTGCTAAGTCATCAAGAAGCTGGATAAATCTCATTGGCATTCTAGTCAACTCACACAGTGAAAAATGATCAACCCATGAATTTAAGCACGTAACTGTATTTACATTGCATTATCCTTATAACAACCTAGGATGATAAATACACATCATTACACCAAAAGAAGCGAACATGATTGCGGAATTAAACCAAAAATTGTTTAATAAATCGTATAGATATAGCATGTCTTGTTTTAAGCAATGTTAGATTTGAGTCTATTTTTAATTTAAATCTTCTTTTGTTTAGCCCTTCCATAGCGGTGACAAAATGGTCAAATCCTCTCATTGGGGCAAATATCTCATGGACGAAGGAATTGGCGTCAGACTTGAGGAAGAGACTCGATGAAGCAGACACATTTCTTTCATATTGCCGCGCGGTCAGTAAACTCAGGAGGAGACACGACACTCGCTAAAGTTTACGTTACCATATAGTGCCATTCTGGGTGATAATGAGATCCCGACATAATGTGCATGAAAAGATGTCGAAATGATAAAACAAAACAAATTATGGGTGTATGATCATGGGTGTGTGCTTGTCTATTGGGTGGAGGGGACCCTCTTAATCTGGGATGGTAGATGCCTGGTCATAGGCATAGTTTTCATCGTAATCGTAGTTTTCTTTATCTTCAATCTGATTCAGTATGCAACAGTAAGTCTGCCACCTCCTTAGAGGAGTAAAAGTAAGTGTACAGCGCTGAGTATCCTGTGAAATATCGTTAATGTTTTCCTTCCCAGAGACCTAACAACTACACATATCCGATTCCAAAGATCATGAAGCCCTTACCTCCTCGACAGTCCAACTGCCGCGAAAGAAGCACAACACCGGCCCCTCCAGTCGGAAAAACGGCCACGCCAGTCAGAACAACGGCCCCTACAGTCGGAAAAACGGTCCCTCCAGCTGGAGAAGCCTTCTCGGTGACGACCTCGTACTCCACAGCAATATCTCTGCTTTTTAGCTATTTCGTGTTCATGTGAACGATCAGATATGCCATCATGATCACAGTTCAAGACTGTCTATCACAAATTGCTAGAGTTTACACTTAAACCAATTTTTGCTCCATATCTTACCCTAGAGATGATCTCTTAGAGGATTAACACTGCTAAAGTGGACATAGATATCCATCACTAACAGCATTAGTGAGCTTTTTTTTTTATAGAGGCGTTAACGGCTAAGGCAAACGGAAAAATAAACTCTGATTTCCCTCACCTTGTACTTGGTGTTCTCGATTACTCTATAATTCCCTTATAAAACTAGTTCTTGCATACTGCTGTACAATATGGGGTAACTGTTCAAAATAACAGTTGAATAAATTGTTACGGCTACAGAAACGCTGCGCCAGAGTGATGCTAGATGTTAATTTATAGGACAATTCAGTTATGTTATTTACCAAATTAGGTTGGCTTCCCATCGACAACATCATCTGCGCAATTTCACAAAATCGGTAACGACCATGGTTAAGAATATCTTTACTTTCATATTAACTACAATAAGGTTAGTCAAAACACTACACGAGAACCTCAGAAAGAAATAATCTTATCCTGCTTATGGGCAAGAAAAATTAAGGCCTCAGAAAATTCCAATCCAGTGCCACTCGTCGATGGAACGGACCAGAACCATCTCTTAGAGATACGAAGTCACAGAGGCGCCTTTTAAGAGAGTCTCTGTAATAGCGGTCCGGTCGATTTTGCTTGAGACACGGATTTCGCTCGTTTCTCGTGTGTTGTAAGACATTCATGTACCTATACTAAAACCACAATCAGTTTGATCGGATCTCTTTATTTTTCAGAGATTTACGGAAATTAAATTTCACTCGAGCGAAGGCTTGTCGTGACACTTTTCAAGACTTTAATTTCATACAACTTTGGAGGACAATTTACAAAAAACTACGGAACTCAGCAAAAAACAAATACCACAGCCATGTATATTAACTCTATCTTATCTATCGAGGCGACTTTCGTAAACATCACGTGTCAATCAAGGAAACAGGAAGACTTGAATGACACCTTATCGGTTCGCCTAAATCAAACACGCCAAAACCGATCAAATTCAAGGTAAATTTTTGAAAAAGTGAGGCGTTCTTAACTGATCCAACTAACATAGCTAGGAAGAAGGTGCCATAGAAAAGATAACTACAGAAAAAAACTTTGCGGCCCGACCTTTACGAGAACTTTATAACTCCGTGAACTTACCTAATTTTCGGCAATCTCCAAGTTTGGCCGCCATTTTGAGGGACTTGTCAACATGAAGCGTAACCGATATAAATCAAGCAGGTAAATCTAAAACCGTCAGAAATACATACGAAAGCAATTCAAATGAACTTTACTTTCAATTCAAGCGGCAAAATTTTAAATTGTTCGTTAAACTTACAATCCTCATGCGACCATTTCTTTCAAAAATTCAAACACTACAACTAGTGTTCGAATTCCCCTCGCCGATTCCACCGCAAGAAATAACCTGTGCCACCCAAGCTTCGACTCGAACATGAAGTACGAATCAAGTAACATAACTGCTTCATCTTCGCGGCAATATCACGCTGGTATTTTGATTTTCCGATCGACAATAACGGTGATCAGGAATCGATCGGTTTGTTTACCTGGTAAACGTGACCGCTGACCAGCCGCTAAGTGAAAACAGCATAGCGCGGGGTGGGGTGGTTGGCGGGCTTATCGTCATAAGATATTCGAATGCATGCTCAAAAAGCTCTAGGACTATCAGTCTAAACAGTGAAGGCATGCTTTGTGGTACAGACAACTTTTATTTTATTCTCATAACTTTCTCCTTAAATACATTTCGTTCCAAATAGGACTAGCATCAGTTCATAGATTTAAAAATAAATCTTTACCACGTAAATAAATGTGTTTAGATAATCGAGATAACCATTGAACCTCTTGTATCGCACCGGAAATAACGTGTCTTGTCTTTGCCCAACTCTGAGAGCGTGGAGCGGCGAAGACGCGAGATACAAGTCTCGCGTCTCGCGGATTCACCATGCTCACAGGATACGCGTGACCTCACTATCTTTAAGAAAAATAAGAGACTACTCGAAGTCTGTATTCCGTTCAACCATTTAATAAGAGTGACGCGAGTCTTTCAATTGAGTGAGAAAGTCACAAACCCATTCTTTACCTCACGAGCGTAACCACTGACCACTCACAAATTACAGTAGGCTTCTCCTTTGACGCGGAAATTGAAATCGTATCGAATATACAAAGTTATAATGAGTTCCTTTAGATCTCCCGAACTTGTATCGCGTTGGAAACAATTACAAGTACAGGAAGAAGTCGTTCACAAGCGAGACGTTTATTATGTCTCAGGACTGCTTTTTGAATAGCAAAGATGGAAAAAACTTTGGTTCATCGTGTGGCTTAAGTGGTTTGGTACGACTGTCTGAATGCTGATCATGAACTGATCAGAACAAAGGTTTTACAAGGAGCCATGAAAACTCAACGTTAACGCACCCAACCTTCCTGAAGTGTAGAAAAGGGATTTTTTTAATCATGATTTGTTTTAGTTTTGCCCCTTGCTGGTTAAAAAGCAGGTGGAAAAGATGAAAAAAATGAAAAATCCTGAATAAGCAAAAGTAAATAGCTGCAACTCTGCACTTCCTTTCATACTGGGTTTAAAGCTGCTCTAAACCTCATCATTTGATAAGCTGCCACCTGTCTAAAGAGGTTTTTAAGGGAAAATGAGCTAATCCTGGCAAGAATTGGCCTATTTCACCTCGCTCAGGAGGATAAACAAAAAAATGTGGATTTGCTATAGGCATCGCTACACTCTGGGGAAGTTTTGGAGAAGTGCAAAGGTAACACGTCAGTATCCTGATCAAGATAGTGTCAGGAAGCGTATCCAAGGCAGAAATGTAATTACCTTGCATATGTCTCAGGACGTTCAAAAGCTGTTTGGAGTTATTATTCCAGTTGAATCAGGTGGTCTTCAGTAACATTTTCTGTTATCTATTTTGTCACGTGACATATCTGCTCGAAAAGAGAAGAAATTCTTTATTAGATGAAGGGCACCTAAGTACACATCACGTTAAAAAAAAATAGATCTATGTGTAAGTGCTTTTCATCACAGATGGAAATATCTACAAAGTTGCTCGGTTGATAATCAATAATGTTTTTGTAGAAGATCAAATCACCTGACAACACAATCTACTTACTCATGCGTACGGTTCACAATTATTTGCGGTCAGTTTTCCTCAGTTTGTATGATTCTCATTAACCGATATGATTAAATTTGCAGACTAAAACACCCCTTATTTGATTAAGAATAATAAAAGTAAACAGTGCATGTTGGTTTTTAATTCCTGATGGATGCTACTGGGCTTTACTTTAACTGAGAAATTTGCAATCGCTTACCTCAGCTCTCTGTGTCCCATGCCGTAAGAAGCACAAGAAAAAGTTGATGATAGTGAGTCTTGGCTAAGATAAGAAGAATCAGAGAAGAATCTACGGTCCCCAGAAGCGCCACTTTTAAACACGAGACAACTAAGGTAAATTGAATGAATTGTTATTTGTTTTATTTAAAACTATCGCTCAGATTATAAGATACGCGAAAAACTCTCCCCACCGATTTTTTCCTACATTCTGTTAATCAAAAGTTTCTATAATTATAAAGGCTTTCTTGTTGATCGTCTTAATAGTAACAGTTTCCAGGATCCAAGGGGAGCACAAGAGAGAACAATTTTCTGCTAGGTAAGGTGACATGCCGGCTTTATACTTCTTCCGGCGTGATAACGATCATGATGACAACAATGGGCAAAAAGCACCGTCCGCTAATGATGACGATTATCATAGTTATTAACAAATCTCAGTTACAGTCCTGAAAAAAATCTCAAGGGGTCCTTTGAACCATCCTCTTAATCTCGCCAGAAGTCAAAGTTGCCTAAACTCATTCTAAGGTTCGTGCAATTTTACGACGAATTTTCAATTCCGGTGTGTTGCACTCGCGACTTTTGATAGAAAAAACCTGTACGCGCCATAACTTAAAAGAACGTGTCAGCGGAATGAATCAAATCTCTATCACTTTGCATACATTTTTGGGAACAGAAAAAATTACTTAGAGCAACATTCTAAGTATAGTGTTCATTCCGTGCAATGGGGCATAAATAAAAGGTTCTGGTGGAAAAGACATTTTATTTTATACCACTGATGACAAAAAAGCAAAAAGGTTATACGGGTACCCGGTTAAAAACATATTGATAACTCTATTAATTAATACCAGTTCTAATTTAAAGGAGAAAGTTATGAGAATAAAATAAAAGTTGTCTGTACCACAAAGCATGCCTTCACTGTTTAGACTGATAGTCCTAGAGCTTTTTGAGCATGCATTCGAATATCTTATGACGATAAGCCCGCCAACCACCCCACCCCGCGCTATGCTGTTTTCACTTAGCGGCTGGTCAGCGGTCACGTTTACCAGGTAAACAAACCGATCGATTCCTGATCACCGTTATTGTCGATCGGAAAATCAAAATACCAGCGTGATATTGCCGCGAAGATGAAGCAGTTATGTTACTTGATTCGTACTTCATGTTCGAGTCGAAGCTTGGGTGGCACAGGTTATTTCTTACGGTGGAATCGGCGGGGAATTCGAACACTAGTTGTAGTGTTTGAATTTTTGAAAGAAATGGTCGCATGAGGATTGTAAGTTTAACACAATTTAAAATTTTGCCGCTTGAATTGAAAGTAAAGTTCATTTGAATTGCTTTCGTATGTATTTCTGACGGTTTTAGATTTACCTGCTTGATTTATATCGGTTACGCTTCATGTTGACAAGTCCCTCAAAATGGCGGCCAAACTTGGAGATTGCCGAAAATTAGGTAAGTTCACGGAGTTATAAAGTTCTCGTAAAGGTCGGGCCGCAAAGTTTTTTCTGTAGTTATCTTTTCTATGGCACCTTCTTCCTAGCTATGTTAGTTGGATCAGTTAAGAACGCCTCACTTTTTCAAAAAATTTACCTTGAATTTGATCGGTTTTGGCGTGTTTGATTTAG